AGCTGTACCCCCGGTAATGACCGTGTCCCAGCACTCGGTACCGGAGCTCGCCGCAAGTGCCGCCCCGCAGCCCCCCGTTCATGGGGACGGCTGTGCCTCCGTCTGCCCCGGCCTTGGAGCTGCTGCACAGACACGGCCCCGCTGCTCTTCTTCCCTTCTTCCCTTCTTCCCTTCTTCCCTTCTTCCCTTCTTCCCTTCCCTCCCCTCCCGTTCCCTCCTCTTCCCTTCCCTGCCCTCCCCCGGGTCGGCCCAGCCTCCGGCACCGGAGGAGCGCAGCGGCCGCGGGACAGGAGCGAGCAGGTCAGGGGAGCCCGGCACGGCCCGGCCCGGCCCGGCCCGCTCCGTTCGCACTGCCCGGCACCGGCCCCGAGGCACTGGCGGGGATCCCGCGGCGGCGGCGGGGCCGGTGGCGGGCGGCGTCTGCCACCTGCTGGGGCGGGCAGGGGCCGCGCTCCGGGCCCCGATCCCAATGCAAATCCAGATCCCAATCCCAGTTCCGATCCCAATCCCTATCCCGATCCCCATCCCAATCCCGATGCCCATCCCGATACCATCCCAATCCCCATCCCAGTTCCGATCCCAATCCCCAGTCCTGATCCCAATCCCTATCCCGATCCCCATCCCGATTCCCATCGCAATCCCCGTCCTGATCCCAATCCCCATCCCAATCCTGATCCCGATCCCAATCCCGATCCCGATCCCAATCCCGATCCCGATCTCGATCTCGATCCCCATCCCCATCCCCATCCCCATCCCCATCCCCATCCTCATCTCCATCCCAATCCCCATCCCAATCCAGATCCAGCCCTGGTCCTGGCCCCATTCCGCTCCCGGTCCCACTGGCAACTTTTCCCCGAGGAGAGGGGAGAGCCCCGATACGGCTGCTGAGAGCCCTCGCCCGTCCCCGCCGGAGCGGGATCGGGAGGCGCCGGGCAGCGGCGGCGGAGCGAGTTAATTATCCCGCGGGATGGGGATCGTAATTATCCCACGGGATGGGGAACGGCTCCGCTCGTGGAGCTGCGGGCGCTCCTGCGGAACCGGGACCGGGAGCCAGTGCAGGACCGGGGCGGATCGCGGCCCGCGGCCCGTCCTGGTGCTCGGTGGAACGCGGGCGGATCGGTCGGGTGTTTCCTGACCTCGGTGTGCAGGGGAAAGTTCTGAGCGGCAACCGCGCCCCACGGTCCGCGCCGCACCGCGTGATGGCTCTGGGAGAGATGTCCCCTGTCCCTGAAACTCTGGGAGCGATGTCCCCTGTCCCTACAGCTCTGGGAGCGATGTCCTGCGTCCCCGGAATTCTGGAAGGGATGTACTCTGTCCCTGCAGTTCTTGAAGAGATGTTCCCTGTCCTTGCAGCTCTGGGAGCGATGTACCCTGTCCCTGAAACTCTGGGAGCTATGTCCCCTGTGCCTGAAATTCTGGGAGCGACGTCCCCTGTGCCTGCAGCTCTAGGAGCGATGTCCTCTGTCCCTGAAACTCTGGGAGCGATGTCCCCTGTCCCTGCAGCTCTGGGAGCGATGTCCTGCGTCCCCGGAATTCTGGAAGGGATGTACTCTGTCCCTGCAGTTCTTGAAGAGATGTTCCCTGTCCTTGCAGCTCTGGCAGCGATGTCTCCTGTCTCTGGAGCTCTTGGAGGGATGTCCCCTGTCCCTGTCCCTCTTGGAGAGATGTCCCCTTGTTCCTCCGGCTCTGGGAATGATGTCCCGTGTCTCTACAGCTCTGGGAAGGGTGTCCCCTGTCCCTGCAGCTCTTGAAGGGATGTCCCCGTGCCCCTACAGCTCTGGAAAGGATGTCCCCTGTCCCTGTAGCTCTGGGAGCGATGTCCTGTGTCCCTGCAGCTTTGGGATGGGTTTCCCCTGTCCCTGCAGCTCTGGGAGCAATGTCCCCCGTCCCTGCAGTCTCCCGTCCCTGCAATCCCATCCCTGTCCCTGCAATCCCATCCCTGTCCCTGCCATCCCATCTCCCCGCAGCCGCAGCACCGGGAGGACAATTTCGGGAGCATCCCGAGCAGCCGCCGCTCCCGCCGGGCAGGGATCTGCCCGAGCCTCGCGTTCCGTGCCAGGAGGGAGGGAAAGGGACTCTGGGAACAGAAACGCACCGTGGTGACACAATTAATGCAAGGCAGGCGGGAATTTAGGAGTTGTGTCTGTTCCTTCCACACAAACACAGGCTGGCAGAGGCGGAGTGGCAGCAAATTTCGGGAATTGTTCTGGGTGAAATGTGGGTTTTAACCCGAAACAGAATTTCTTGAAATCTGTTAAACACAGTGCTAAAAAAAAAAAACCTGGGAGTTAATAACAATTACCAGGTGAATTCTCAGGGTATTGTGTTAGGACAGGGTCCAGTGTACTCCAAAAATTTGGGAAACATCTGGAGGACACTGAATCTCCTTGGGACAAAAGAGAAAAGAGCTCCTGGAGCAGGTGCAGGGGAAGTGACAAAGGTCCAGGATGTGAACACAGCTGTGCTCAGGACATTGTGGAAGATCCAGATCTGTGCTCAGACAGGAGCTCAGAATGTAGGCAAACTGCTCACCTGGAGTGCTTCATGTCTGTGTTTAGTGGTCAAGTCTAGGCTGGTTTATTTTATTTTATTTTATTTTATTTTATTTTATTTTATTTTATTTTATTTATCTCAGAAGGTGGGCAAACTGCTCACCTGGAGTGGTTCATATCAAGGAATCAGATCTAGGCTAATGGGGAGAATAATCAACAAAATCATTCTGTGGAAATGTGATCATTCAGCTCTAACCATGAGGCCAATTCTGGCTCAGAGAGCAAAGCCCTAAACATGAAAGGAGGACAGGAGAAAAATGGGAAGATTTGTTGTAATTTGAGAGATATTTTGTTGCCCAAAATATTTTTATTTTGCCCAGACCCTTTGAAACTCTGTCATCCAAAGAGAGTCAAATAAAGGCAGGAAAACGAGCTCTGAGCAGCAATTATCCCAAATCGAGGGACAGCCTCCCCTATTAACCAAAGTAATTTGAATTATTGATTAAAACATAAACCACAAGGCTTTGCATATTTACCCTGTGTGTTGTGTTTGTGATTCCCAGGTCTATTATAAAGTTATTAAAGAGATTGAGCCGGGGGAAGAGCTCCTGGTGTGCCTGAAGGAAGGAGGTTATTCCCTGGGGAACATGGCACCCAGCATGGAAGGTAAGGCTCCCCACGAGCTCCTGCTCCTCTCTGCACCCTCAGCCAGGCCAGGGCTGGGACAAAACCTGACAAAACCCCACCCAGGACCTGGCCCTTCTGTCTCTGAATGCATTTTGTGCTTATTTTCACTCTTTTCCTGGTGAGAGAAGCTCAGTCCACAACACCGAGTTTTCATCAGCCTCAATTCCTTCTCTTTGTGGGTTTGGGTATGATCAGAGGTGCCTTTTCCATTTATCAGCCTCATTCCCTTCTCTTTGTGGGTTTGGGTATGATCAGAGGTGCCTTTTCCATTTATCAGCCTCATTCCCTTCTCTTTGTGGGTTTGGGTATGATCAGAGGTGCCTTTTCCATTTTTCAGCCTCATTCCCTTCTCTTTGTGGGTTTGGGTATGATCAGAGATGCCTTTTCCATCCCCAGGTGCTTTTGGGTGTAATAAAAATGGCCAAATCATCCCCAGGATGGAAAACATCCCTCTTGGTGAGGGATGTTTTCCATCCTTGGGAAAACATCTGTCTGTCTCTGAATGGATTTTGTGCTCATTTTCACTCTTTTTCCTGGTGACAGAGGCTCAGTCCACAACACCGAGTTTTTATGAGCCTCAATTTCTTCTCTTTGTGGGTTTGGGTATGATCACAGGTGCCTTTTCCATTTATCAGCCTCATTCCCTTTTCTTCATGGGTTTGGGTATGATCAGAGGTGCCTTTTCCATCCCCAGGTGCTTTTGGGTGTAATAAAAATGGCCAAACCATCCCCAGGATGGAAAACATCCCTCTTGGTAAGCTCCAGCCTGCAGAGATTTGGGGAATCTGGAAAAGAGGGGTCCAGGCAGGGGATGGAAGAGTCATCACTAAAATTATCATTGCTGGAATAAAGAAACCTCATCTTTCTCTGCAGCAGCTGTGAGCAGGTAGCAGGACACACACATGGAGTGTTCTGGAAATCTAAGAGTGCTCCCAGCACTGATTTTCCTCTTTTAGGATGCTTTTTTCCCACATTCATCCAAGGCTCTGACACTACAAACACTGTGCAAGGAAGTGACCTCTGAGGAAAACTGGGAAGGATGTGCCCAACATCATTATTCCATGATTTATTTCGACCAATAATTTCTATAAATACTGGTAAATTCTCGTTTACCAGGTGTTTTTAAACTAGTAGTTGGAAATAATGCTCTATAAAATTAATTTATGAAATTGGAGTTCTCTCAGTGCACCCCACAATAATTTTTTTTTTCACCTACACATAAGTACAATTTCTGATGCAAATTTGCAGTAAAATTCTGCACAATCAGTTTCCAATATTTCAGGAAAATGAGATAATTTGAGGATTTGTGCTGCTGGAAGTTCATTTGCTGAAGGGCTGGGGTGAACTGTGATATTTGCTGCCTCACTCATATCAAGTTTGGGAGTATTTTTTCACAGCTCTCCCCCCCCCCAAAAAAGTTAATGATTTTCTCAAGACTAACACACAGAGATGAATAATTTCTGCACTTTTTTTTTTTTTTTTTTTTTTTGATGTCAAGGAGAAATCTGAATGAAAACTCACCGCTGTTTTGCATTTCAGTTTCTAGCAGGCTTTCATGTGAACAAGCAAAAAGTGCTCCTTGTTTTCCATCTCTGTCATTATGGAACATTTATCTGGATCTTCCTGCTAACGGTGTCTAGTGCTTTTGCTGCATAATTGCTGTCAAATTATGCCAGGCCAACATTAAATATTTGACTCCTTAATACTTTTTACTTTTCAGCAGGGCTATCTCCCTGCTGCCTCGCACCCCCAGCTCACTTTGGAATTAACAGGAGAGAGAAAATGCAAAATTGTTCCACACAAAGATAATTATCATAAAAATCTTTCCTCCCAACCCCAGCCAAACACAGCAGACCCCTTATCACTGCAGGAATTTTGAGTAGGGCACTTGAACTCCTTTGAGATTCGAGTCTGGTAGATTAGCATGTAGATGCCACATAATTGTGTTCCCCTTGGTTTCTCTGAAAGCTATTAGGCACTGATTTATTTTTCTGTTACATTCCTGCTTTGTCCTGAGTGTTGCTGATGGAACTTCAGATAGGCACATACAACCATAGGTTTGACAAACACGACACTGAGAACAGGCAGCAATTTCGGTGTGACTGGGGCTGCTCTTTTCTTTGCAGCCCCTTCTCCCTGTCACACAGCTCCCTTTGTGAAGGGCAGTATTTTTGTTTTAAAAAAAGGGGGAAACTTTAATGAGAACGTGCTTTGAAGGGTGACCTTTTTATTTTTTGGTACTTAGAGGCAGGGAAAAAAAAAAAGGAACAGCTGAATGAACCTGGAGCCTACAAAGTGGGTGTGAGATGCAGACACAGAATCAACACCGGGTCTCAGCTCAGCCCTGAGCTGGGTTAGGTTTCAGTTTTGCAGGGCATGGGCTGGTCCTAAGCCAGGCTCAGGTCCTTTCCCTGCAGGGTGTTTGTTGAGGAGTCTGGTTTGGGGTTTGCTGGGAATGCCAGAGGAATGGGGGATGGATTTGGAGCAGTTATCATGGAATGGTTTGGGAGCTGAAGGATGAATTTATCCCATCCCATCCCATGCCACGGCAGGGACACCTTCCACTGTCCCAGGCTGCTCCAATCCCCTCCAGCCTGGCCTTGGGCACTGCCAGGGATCCAGGAGCACCTACAGCTGCTGTCCCACCTCATCTGCTTCTCCTCTCTTCAGCCTGAGTGTCACAGACATCTTTTCAGGAAAAATCCTTTCTTTAGGATTTTTTCCTCCTGAGAAGCTGAGAAGCCTCAGGAACAAAATGTAAACAATGGTTATGTGCTGCTGTGGAATGCAACAGGTGGATCTGTGATTGGTCTCATGTGGTTGTTTCTAATTAATGGCCAATCACAGCACAGCTGGCTTGGACAGAGAGCCAAGCCACAAACCTTTGTTACCATTCTTTTCTATTCTATTCTTAGCTAGTCTTCTGATGAAACCTTTTCTTCTATTCTTTTAGTATAGTTTTAATATAATATATATGATAAAATAATAAATCAAGCCTTCTGAAACATGGAGTCAGATCCTCGTCTCTTCCCTCATCCTCAGACCCCTGTGAACACGGTCACATCAGAGCATCAAAACAGGATTTACAGCCAGTGGCAAGATGAAGAACACGTGGCTACAAGGCTTTTAATCATATTTTTGTCAGCTCTCTAAGCCTCCTTTCAATGCAAATTTCTTTTTCCAAACCCAGATACTCTGAAGCACAGGAATTTCTTTTCCTCCCCTCCATCTTTTCCACCTGTGGAAAAGCTGCTGTTTTTGATGTCCTCTTGGATTCTGTGTGATTTGGGTGAGATATGGCAAAGGACCAGGAGAATGAGAAGCTAAATCTCTTTTCTAAAATATTCTTGAGGCAATTAAGATATTTCACCTCTTTCCCTGCTCTGTAAGCTCACAGAAAGGACAAAAATGTGTCATTGTCAATGGTGAGAGCAGGGAAGGGGAGGAAGTTATCAGGGTAACATATCAGCCAGGTATGGAGGAAATTACTCTCCATGGTTGCTCTTCCAAACCCAGAGAGGATTTCTGCTTCCTACAGGAGAGTTTGGATGAAATAAGCTGCAATTAATCATGTAAATCTCAAACTGGAGCAGGGAGAATTCCACCTGGATTTGTGGAAGGAATTTTGTTGCGTTTTCTCTGAAGTCAAAAGAACGGAAAGGAGAAAAAAAAAATCTGTTTCCTCCATTCCAAGTGTTTTCAGGTCTGGGGATTTGCCAGGTGGAGCTTGAGGGACACTGGGAGTTTGGTAGGAGCTTGTTAAGAGGTGAAGGGACCTGGGGCTTCCCAGCCTGGAGGATTTCAGTCACTCCTCCAAAAATTCCATCCTGGTTAAGCCATTGCTGCATTTACAAGAGAGAAAAGAGGGGAAATGCTGGCTCTGAGGTGGAGAAACACCTCACCAGAGAAGTTCCATGTCTCTGGGGTTTGATGCTACATTTTTTTCTTCTTTTCTCTCATAAAAAGTAGTTTGGATTATTTTAATGGTAGTATCTTCATTCTGCTGTTATTGGTGTCCTAATTTCCAGGTTTCCCTCCCCAAGGACATCAGATACACCTTGGTCCTGCTCTACAAAATGCAGCAAAGAGAGAATTTCTCTGAGGAGCAGAGCAGGGCTTGACCCACCCCATGGTGAGGCTGCTGCCAGAAATCTCCGAGTGTATAAACCCTCAAAATGAGCAAAATTGGGGATTTTCTTTCCTCAAGTCTTCTTTTTTTAGTCAAAATCCCTTTGTTGACTGGCTGGACTTTATTTCTTTTTGCACCCCTCTGTTGTGGAGCTGATCTCCTGCAGCCTTGTGGGATCATCCATGTATGAGTGGCTCTGGCAGCCCTGGCAGGCTGCTGGGATGCTAAAACCTCTGCCAAACCCCAAAAATCAGAGCTCCTTGGTTCTGTAAGAGTAAAGTTTTGTGTCAAGTTCTATTATTCAGGAAAAACTCAATCAGCACTGAGAGATGTTTCTCCACATCACCCAACGTACAAAACCCAATCCTTTTGGTGCAATGGCACTCCTGAAGTTCCACCCACATTTAATTCTGCTTTTCTCCAATTACCACAGGGGATATTTTTCATTTCAGGGGATATTTTGCCTGTCATTCCATCGAATATTGAGGGTGGCTCAGCCAGGCTGTGCTGGCTGAGTTTTGGTGATACTTTCTTTTTCAGGGAGGTTTGATTTTCCCCATGTCAGTATTTTCCGTGTAGGTGTGCAGAGGGTGCAGAGGGTTTCCTCTGCCCACATCACTGCTGCAGCAGCCTCTGGGACCTTGCCTTGCTCAGTTTTAAACTCAGGTTTAAGCAGAGAAAAGAGAGATATGAGGTGAGTACCCAGATGGGAGCACAGAGGTCTCAGGGTGTGACACTGCCTGTGGTTCCACTCCTGTCACACTCATAACAAAATTAAACCTGATTTATATAAAACACCATTCCAGGCCTTAAAGCTCAGCCTTTTTGCTCAGTTTTAAACTCAGGTTTAAGCAGAGAAAAGGGAGATGGGAGGTGAGTACCAAGGTAGGAGCACAGGGTGTGACACTGCCCATGGTCCCACTCCTGTCACACTCATAACAAAATTTATCCTGATTTATATAAAACACCATTCCAGGCCTTAAAGCTCAGCCTAAGTTCTTGCAGTTGTGCAGAATTTCATGTAAACAAGTGCAAGGGGGGACTTTGAAGCAAAGGGGTTGAAGATTTTACCCCAAGAACGTGAGCATGGCCACATTCCACCCCAGGGAATGGGGTGCAGAGCAGGAAATGGATCAGCTCCAGCCCAGCATCACCTCTGGCTGCAGCTCTCAGAATATTCCCACTCCTCCCTCAGAGATAAGGCTGCTCCTTCTGGGAGTGCAGCTATCAGAACAAGAGAACCTCAGAGCGTGGAGGAAGAGGGTAGGGGAGGACAGGGAAACGTGGCTCCAGTGACTCACAGGGGGCTGGAAAGCTTCTGTTCCAGGGTGGAGAAACCCAGAGCTATCCCGACTCCCTCACAGAGCTTGTTCTCCTGGAAAATTTACAGCTCTGAGCTGATTGTTTGGCTTGGCACTGTGGTCAGGATGCTGCCTTGTAAACTTAATAATAGCTGCCCTCTTTTTAATTTGTTTGACCTTGACTACAGTAATTTATTATGTGCATTAGAACTTTAAAAAAAAAAAATAAAGAAGGAAAAAAAAAAGCAAAGAGCACAGCAACAAAGCCTTTGGCTGCCTGCTCTTCCTTCCATGGTGCTCTGGGCTGGGACTCCTCGGGCTGATGGAGACCTGAGCTCCTGCAGTGGAAAATTGAGAGGAGAACATTAGACAGACAATTTCTTAGAAAGAAGCTCCTCCAGGTTTGTGCAGTGGCAGTTTGCTCTTCTCACTATCTGTGTTTATACGAGCCTGGCTTGTTCCTTTTTCCCTGACAGCCCCTTCTGAGGAAAACTCATCCATAATTTCAAACCCTCTCCTTGCAGACAAGCGCAACACCCCGGAACGAGCCAGAATTTTGTGTGTCTCCCAATCCCTGCAGGTCCCTCCATCTCAGCAGAGGCCAAGACACAAAGAAAACAAGATCTCCTCTGGTTGTGTGATCTGATTTTTTTTTTTTTCTCTCTTAATGCCTAAAGTGAAAGCAGCTGCTGGCACAGCCTCCCTTGGGTTCTCTCCCCTCTCACTTGCGAATCCTCTCTTTGTTTGTTTGTTTGCTGGCCTGGGGGAGCTTTGCTGCTCCCTGGTTGTGTTTCCCAGGGCAGGGCTGACCATGGGCTGCTGTGTGTGTTGCAGAGGAGCCCTCGTTCCGCTGTGAGGACTGCGATGAGCTGTTCCAGTCCAAGCTGGACCTGCGGCGCCACAAGAAGTACGGCTGCGGGGCCGTGGGGGCCCTCTACGAGAGCCTCAGCGACGACATCAAGCAGGAAGGCCTTGGGGATGGACAGGTCTACGAGTGCAAGGACTGTGAGAGGATGTTCCCCAGCAAATACAGGTACCCACTGACAGCCAGAGCCTCCTCTGGCCTCCCCTCTGTGTCCTGGGCAAAGCGGGGCGATGGGTGGTGGGGAGGACTGAAGGGATCAACCTTTCCTTCATCCTTAGAAACCTTTCCTTACTCTGTATAAACCTTTCCTTTCCCCATAGAAACTTTTTCTTCCTCCATAAAAACCTTTCCTTCCTCCAAAGAAACCTTTCCTCTTTCCATTGAAACCTTTCCTTCCCCCATGAAAACCTTTCCTTCCTCTGTAGAAACCTTTCCTTCCTCCATAGAAACCTCTCCTTGCTCCATAGAAACCTTTCTTCTCCCCATACAAACCTTTCCTTCCTCCATAGAAACCTTTCCCCTTTCTATAGAAACCTTTCCTTTCCCCATAGAAACCTTTCCTCTTTCCATAGAAAACTTTCCTTTCCCTGTAGAAACCTTTCCTTCCTCCATAGGCTTTAGGAATGTTCTTTTTGGGATAAACCTTTTCTTTCCTCCATAGAAACCTTTCCTTCATAGCATTTCAGAATCTTCTTTCTGGAATAAACCTTTCCTTCCTCCATAGAATTTTACAATGTTCTTTTTCATAGAAACCTTTTCTTTCCCCATAGACACCTTTTCTTTTCTCGATAGGCTTTAGGAATGTTCCTTTTGGGATAAACCTGTAATTTCCCCATAGACACCTTTCCTTCCTCCATAGAACTTCAGAATGCTCCTTTTGGGATCAACCTTTCCTTCCTCCATAAGCTTTAGGAATGTTCTTTTTGGGATAAACCTTTCCTTTCCTCATAGACACCTTTCCTTTCTCCATTGCATTACGGAATGTTCTTTCTGGAATAAACCTTTCCTTCCTCCATAAACTTTAGGAATGTTCCTTTGGGATCAACATTTCCTTTCTCCTAGTACCCTCTCCTTTCCCTACAGGGTTTAGGAATGCTCACTTTGGGGCCTCTGTAGCTGTTGGGCAGTGTTTTATTCCACCTTGATTTCACAGACCTGTGCTTTTAATTGCCCGTTGGTAGAAGCACCCAAAGGTTGTTGGTGGGAAGTTTTAGGGGTTCTTTTCTGAGAGCCTTGGGTGGATATTTCCATCTGTTCTCTTGTTCTGAAGGAAAAAAACACCAATATTAGTTCAGTCAACATGTGCATGAAGGCTTCTTTTAAGTTTAATTCTTGGTCATTTGAGATGAGTGGGTTTAAAGAGGTGTCAATGCCCTAAGAACTCGTGATATGGCCATGAGCTCCTGTTTGATCTGGCAGGAACAATTAAAAAACTCTATCCCAATCAAATTTTTAATTTTCTTTGTGTCCACCAAATGTTCTTGTGACAGCAATGTGAAAAGGAAAAGGAAGAAGATTGCAAGCTGGATAACTCCAGCTCATTTTTTAATTTGCAACAATTATTCAGTTATTATGATTATACGGCAACTGTAAATAAGAATTAAACATCTCTTTAAAGGGGAAAATATTTAAACTCAGGTTTTAACTTAAATTTTTTTTTTTTTTTAAAGCAGAATGTGGTAGTAATGAAATGCAGCTTTAACACAGCAATCTTTGAGCTCTCTAATTCATTGGCAAAGTGAGACTCAGATAGTTAAATATTAGGAGCCAGCTTTAAAAGATGAGGAGTTTTTTTAATCAATTTAAGATTGTGTTTATTTGCATCCTAAGCCTTGATAAAAGCCTTTATAAAATTCTATAAAAGCAGAGTTTTCTGTGTTTACCGGAGGCTGAAGTTCTCACATACTCATTTCTTTTGCCTTCTTGGGTGAACAAACCCCGTGCACCACAAAATTTCTTATAAAACTGTGAGAACTGGCAATCCCCTGTCAGGCTCTGCCTGAGCACAGCAAAAACCTCGAGGTTAAAGCCCCTGTTTCGCTTCAGTTTAACATTTAAAAACCTGCATTTGTCACTTTGAACTTAATTACATTGATACATTCAGCTCTTTGATCTGGGTGAGGAAGTGAGGGGGGAAAAAATCTATTTTAAAAGATGCAGAGAAAGGTGAAGGCTGCAGAGCATTCCCTGTATCTGCATGGAAAAGGGCTTGGGAGTTGTAGAATCTGGGATGGATCCTGGGATTCCTGAGTGGGATCCTTTTAGCCCAGTGTGGTTTTTTTAATCCTCATCTCATGGCTCAAATTGGCTACTCTCATTAGAAATAAGAGGCTGCAATTTTCTTCTTTTATTTTTAACTGACAAGACAAGGAGAACTTCCTTCAAATATTTTCAATATTATGGATTTTAGTAAAAATTCCAATTCTTTTATCTATCTGTGTCAGGAACTCTCTCTTCTTTAGCCTCCAGCACTCTCTAATTTTTATGTTAACTAGGAATAACTAATATTTACGTTAACTAGGAATAACTAATTTTTATGCTAACTAGGAATAATTAATATTTATATTAACTAGGAATAACTAATTTTTATGCTAACTAGGAAATAACTAATTTTTATGTTGATTAGGAAATAACCTTTTGAAATATGTGTGTTGTATCCTATTTGTACCCTTTGTGTATGTCTGGCTCTCTAGGGGCCTGAACTGGCACTGTGGCCTTGGAATTTTTCCTTTTAGACCCAATATTTTGGAATAAGTAACATAAAGTTGATTTTTTTTTTTTTTACAAGGGAAAAGAGAGCAGCATCCTCATTCAGCCCTTGACATGCTGGTGGATTGGTGGGGTGGGGAGGAAATGTCCACATCAGTCTCCCCCCATCAATCTGCCAAGTTTAAAGTCACTAAAACACAAAATAAACTCGCTCAAAGTGCCTGGATGGTCTCAGAATTTTTCAAAGTTAACACAGATGAAATCAAGGATGCCACTGGGGACCTGAAATTGAGCATTTAGCAGCTGACTAAATAAATAAATGTTTTGCTAATCCCAGTAGGTACTTGCCTCTGAACAGCATACTAGCTTGTCCATATTTGCTCAAAATAAACTCATAAATCACAGTTAACAGGACCGTATTTTTGGATGTGAATATGAAAATTTTGTGTTACTTTGTGTGTGTTAAAAATCTGGTCATTTTAAGAGCAGCATTTCTTCAGCAAAATGAATATTGCTGCTTTCAAACCACTGGGTTGGCAGTTTATGAGGGGCATGCCCATGAATATGAATTATCTAGCTGGGATTAGAGCTGGTGCTCCAAGGGAAGGGTTTTGGGTGTTGAGTGACCAAGGCTAAAATGATTCCTGGGATCCTGAAATTGCCAGAAATGCCAAGGTATTATCTTCCCTGAAGACTGGCAAGATTTTCCAGTAGTGTTCAGCTTTAATGTTTTTGTAAAAATACAGCCATGCTTTAAAGTTCTGTAGGAATGGTTTAATGTCCATGTGTAGGGTATCAGGCAGGAGCAAATTCCATGTAAGCTGTTTTTTGTTTTTTTAGAAGTCACAGTAAGAGTAATGTTTGTAACTCCTGTTAACCTGCCCCAAAGGAAGGAAAGGATGCAGATTTCCTTCCCTTGTTTCTCAGGGCTGGCATTAGATGTGCAGGATTCCTGACCTGAGATGTGCAGGATTTATGGCTGAGAAGTACAGGATTCTCAGCCTGAAATGTGCAGGATTTCTGGCCTGAAATGTGTAGAATTCCTGGTCTAAGATGTGCAGGATTTCTGTCTGAGAGGTGCAGGATTTCCAGCCTGAGAGGATCAGAATTCCTGGCCTGAGATTTCTGCAGGATTTCTGGCCTCAGAGATACAAGATTTAAGGCCTGAGAGGTGCAGGATTTAAGGCCTGAGAGGTGCAGGGTTTAAGGCCTGAATTATTCAGGTTTTCTGGCTGAGGCATGCAGGATTCCCAGCCTGAGATGTGCAGGATTTAATGTCTGAGAGGTGCAGGGTTTAAGGCCTGAGATGTGCAGGATACCCAGCCCAGGATGATCAGGATTCCTGGCCTGGGATGTGCAGGATTCAAGGCCTCAGACATACAAGATTTAAGGTCTGAGAGATGCAGGATTCCCAACACAAGAGGTGCAGGATTTAAGGCCCAAATTGTGCAGGATTTCTGGATGAGAGGAGCAGGATTCCCAGCCTGAGATGTGCAGGATTCCCAGCCAAGGAGGATCAGGATTCCTGGCCTGCAATGTCCAGTATTTCTGGCCTCAGAGATACAAATTTAAGGCCTGAGAGGTGCAGGATTCCCAACACGAGAGCTGCAGGATTCCTAGTCTGAGAGATGCAGGATTTAAGGTCTGAGAGGTGCAGGATTTAAGGTCTGAGAGGTGCAGGATTCCCCACATGAGAGGTGCAGGATTCCCAGCCTGAGATGAACAGGATTCCTGGCCTGAAAGGTGCAGGATTTAAGGTCCGAGAGGTTCAGGATTCCCAACATGAGAGATGCAGGATTCCTGGAAAAGGAAATGCAAGATTTAATGTGCAGGAATTAATGTCTGAGAGGTGCAGGATTCCTGGGCAGGGAGGAGCAGGTTTCCCATGGCACAGGGAGGGCACTGGAGCCCCAGGTGCCACCCCTGCCATGGCCCTGTGCCAGCAGCCACTGGGGATTGCCATCATCCCCTGGTCTGGAGACTCTCCAGTTGGCAGAAGGTGAAATTGCTGAGTGAAGTAATCAAAGACGTCTGACATTTAGAAGTGAAACGTGTTTGCACCTTATCATGTTTCCTCCCAACGGTGAGTCCCTGTGTTCTGGGAAGCCGTGGGCCTGCTGCCCATGAAAATGGACACATGAGAGGCTCAGCAGCAGCAAATCTTTTCTTTCTCCAGGGGAGATGACACAAAAAGTGCCCATTCTTCCCTTCAGGGATCTCTAGGGTCACGGCTGGGTTTACTTTCCTTTTCCCCTGTGAGAATGGACTCAGGGATTTATAAGACGCATAAATACCCAGTCATTTTGAGGCAGAAGAGGGCATTTTCCACCAATGAAACAAATCTCAAAAACCTCAAATGTTTGGGTGTCACTGCTCTTCTCACAGTCGAGGGGTTTGGAACACAAACCATGTGAGGAACCACTGAGGGAGCTGGGGGTGTTCAGCCTGGAGAAAAGGAGATTCAGAGGTGACCTTGTTACTCTCTGAAACTCCCTGAAAGGTGGCTTTGTTCAGGAGTTGGGCTCTTTCTCCAGGAAGTGACAGAACCAGAGGACGCAGCCTTAAGTTCCACCAAGGGAAATACAGGTTGGATATTAGGAAAAAGTTTTTCACAAAAAGAGTGATAAAGTCCTGGAATGGCTGCCCAGGGAGGTGGTGGAGTCACCATCCCTGGGTGTGTTTAACAAAGCCTGGATGTGGCACTGGGTGCCAGGGTTTTGTTGAGGTGTTGAGGCTGGGTTGGACTTGATGATCTTGAAGGTCTCTCCCACTCTAGTAATTCTGTGAATTCTGTGAATTTTATGAGCTGCTCCCTTCCTGCTCTGAGGCACCCAGAAACTGGAAAACCCCCAGGCCCCACAGCTGGCTCTCTGTCACCATCTCTGTCACCTCTTTGGGTCTCAGACCTGCCTCAGTACCTGCTCTGGGTGGTCTGAAGCTCAGCCTGTGTCTCTTTGCCAGCCTGGAGCAGCACATGGTGATCCACACCGAGGAGAGGGAGTACAAGTGTGACCAATGTCCCAAGGCTTTCAACTGGAAATCCAACCTGATTCGTCACCAAATGTCTCACGACAGTGGGAAACGGTTTGAATGTGAAAACTGTGTTAAGGTACAGTGAGAACATGGTCGGCTGGGGGATGCACCTGGGGGAGGGTGCTGGGACCTGGGGGTGCAGGACACAGTGTCCATTGGGGGATTCAGCTGGGGAGGGTGCTGGGATTTGGGGAAGAGGGTGCAGGATACAGTGTCTATTGGGGGAATTCACCTGGGACCATGAACACTCGAGGAGGTGCCATAGACCTGTCAAACCATGAGCACCCCACACTTGAGGACATGCACAGACCTGTCCTACCATGAGCACCACCCACCTGAGGAGGTGACACAGACTTGTCCAACCATGAACACTCAAAGAGGTGCCACAGACCCGTCAAACCATGAGCACCACACACTCAGGACTCAGGGAAGTGCCACAGACCTATTCAGCCATGAGCACCACGCACTCAGAGAGGTGCCACAGACTTGTCCAACCATGAACACTCAAAGAGGTGCCACAGACCCATCAAACCATGAGCACCACACACTCAAGACTCAGGTAGGTGCTACAGACTTGTCCAACCATGAGCACTTGAGGAGGTGCTACAGACCTGTTCAATCATGAGCACCACACACTCAGGGATGTGCCACAGCCTGGCAGAGCACGAATGGAGCTCTTTCATTACCTCTCCTCACCTGTCCACTCCGCGCTCCTCAAACCACGAGCACCACTGCACAAAACCCTAACAAAATCAATTTTCCACATGCAGGCTCTTCTCCTGATGCTTTCCCCTTGTTCTGAAGGCATTTTCCCCCGCAGGTGTTTACGGACCCCAGCAACCTCCAGCGGCACATCCGCTCGCAGCACGTGGGCGCGCGGGCCCACGCCTGCCCCGACTGCGGCAAGACCTTCGCCACCTCCTCGGGCCTCAAGCAGCACAAGCACATCCACAGCACTGTCAAACCTTTCATATGTAAGTTGTCACGGCCATCACCAGCCTGTAATTGCAGGGATCCTGCAGGGCCCCCCCCAGCCCTCCCATCCCCGGCCGCTGTAATTTTATAGCTCGGAGCACAAGATGAATTTTTTTCTCTTTTTTTTTTTTTTTGCATGCTCCCCTGTTTTTTCAGTAAACATTCGTGGCAGTTTTTGACTTTCTTGACAAGTTAAAAGCTGAGTCTCTCAGCGGTCACAGCGATGCCATTTTCTCATATCTTTTCTTTCTCTCGTCTTTTTTTTTTTTTTTGCTTTAATCGCTTTCGAATGTTCCTGTTGGTGACATAAATAAATAGCTGGCACAGCCTGATCGAAATGTTTTACAGGGGTGCCTCAAATCCTGGAGCCGATGTAAAGAGCTTGGAATAATCACAGAGATGAGAAGGTGTTTTTTTCCAAAAAAGAAAGTTTTTTCTTCTTTATTTACTGCATGCTTCATCTAGATAATGCTGGGAGCCAAATAAACAGCAGATGAACTGTGTCCTCAGCGCTCTCCTTGGTGGGATATTTCCAGAAGGGCATTTTCCCTGGAGAGCCACCCATCTCAGTCCTTGTCATTCCTAGGGCTGTATATTTTTTTTAATTGACACAGCACCCATTGGGTTTGGATAACTGTGCAGGGAGGTGGATGGTGTCACAACAAAGCCCCAGGAACTTTAGGGATCACTTCCTGACACTTCAGAACACGTTGCTCAGGCACGGGTCGGGATCTGGGTTTGATTCCAGGCTTTGATGTTACGGTAGGGAAGCCACTGAACCCCCTCCTGCCTTTTTCCCCCTGTTGGAATAATGGGAACAGCATGGAGAAATATCCTGGGAGACTCATTTCATTAATGTCCCTCGGTAATCAGTGTCCTGAGATAATCAGCTGGGTGTCAGCAGAGGAAGAAGAAACTCCTCTCATTCATTTTGCCGCAATCTTTCACTGGGCACATGAAAGGGATAATTTGACTCCCAGGATTGCTGCAGGGAAGATGAGGAATTTCTCCTCATAATCTCCTCACTCTCACCTCATCAAAATTAGGGAGTTGTCAGAGCAAATCGGAGTGTGCAACAACTGCAGAGGGATCCTGCCTGGACAGATATGTCAGGTTGTTTTGTCCATCAATGTGGAATCCATTAACAGCTTCAAATCCACAGGCAGGATTCACCAGGAAGTTGGTTCTTTTTTTTTTCCCTGTTTTTCTCTTGGTTGTTTCCCTGTTCAGTGGAAGAAAAGGGGTCTAAGTGTGTTGCTGTTTAATTTTTTACAATATTATATTTGGCTTTCAAAAGACCCCAAACCTGTAGCTTTATAACTGCAGAAATCAGGAGGGCAAGAAAGGCCGTTCTGCATGGAATTACTAAATCATTGGATAAGTGGAGATTTAACAGAATTTTTTCCAGTTTTCCTTATTTTAGAAGGCTGATGTGAGCTCTCAGAGCTCTAGCACTTCTCTTTATTGAAAAATGGAAGAATTCTGGAATCATGGAATGGTTACAGTTGGAAAAGACCTCTGAGATCATCAAGTCCAACCCTTAACCCAGCACTGCTGTGCTCATCACTAAAGCACATTCTTAAGTGGTTTTTTGAACAATTTCAGGGATGGTGATAACTGATTCCCTTGGAAAAAAGAAAAAAAGCAGAGATTGTTGTTTTTAAGAGACAATCATGGAAATAAAATTCAGCAGTGCTGAATTTTCATGTAAAATAAGTTCAGTAGTTCTTCTTTTAAGAGCTCTGTTTGAATATTTTTAAAGAAAACTCTTTAAAATGGGGTAAAAAGGCCAAATAAACCTTTTCTCTGCAAGTAGCTGAAATAATACTTACAGCAGCCATAAAACTCTGTGTATGCACTAAGAGCAGTTCAGGAGACCTGATCTGAGATTTTAAAATTATTAGCATTGGCTCAATAATAATCCAAATAATCCAAAAATTAGGATTGGCTCAAACATCCAAACTCTTGTGATGACTTTCTTGTCCTGTTTGTGTTTCCCTGCAGCTCTGGGCCGTGTCAGGGCCAAACAATTAAATACTCTGGGGACAAAACGGCCTGAATTTACAGTGCAGTCAGAAAGCAGAGCCTTTAGTGACACTCCTTTGAATTTTGGGGTGCTCATCTGAACTGAAATGTCAAATTCATTGAATTTTATCCACCTCTGCTTTGAATTTCAATTGGAATTTATTATATTATTGTATTTTTGAGCTGCTAGTGAAATACTCTCCCACCAATCATTCAATATTCAAGCACTGAAGTAAATTCTAAAGATTTAGGAGAAAATACAGAGAAAATCATGCTCACATGCACCTATCAGTAAAGCTGGGAGGAAGGAAGGAGCACTGAGCAGTCCCTGAGCTGGAGTGTCAGGGCTTGGATTCATGTCCTTGCCTGTCCCAAGCACAAACAATGTCCTTCCCCTGCTTTGTCTCAGTTTCCCTGCTCACAAAAGGGTGATAACAGCAGTTCCCCGGGGGAAGGAGCGTGCTAACTCACCACCACATTTATTCCCATGTTGAAAGAGGCACCAGATAATAAAAAAGTCACTGTGTTTTGATGTGTAGAAAACTTTGGGGTGGGATTTCTGTCTCGCTTTGCCCTGCTTCTTCCACAGCAGCAAGTCTGGAGGTGAAAAAGGGGTCATAAAAATCCATGTTTTGAAAGCTTGGTATTTACAGGTTGTTAGAGAAAACACTGATGTGGCTTCAGTTAGTGGGGCAGGGGTGTTGGACTGATTTAAAGGATTAAAAAAAGAGATCCCAGTCCTGGCAGAAGCCGGGGGATTTATAGAGCATCCCCCTGCAGGGGTTGTGTACCACTGAGGGCATTAAGGAAGGGCAGGTTTGATTAAATGAGGCAAAGTTCTTCTCCCTCCAGCCCTCAGTGCTTCCTGCCATGCTAGGACTAATGGGAAGCAGATGAGCTGGGGTAAATAGATGTTATCACTAAAAATGTATGATTAGGGCAAAGATGTTCTGAGGGGACTGGAGCATCTTCCCTCTGGATCTGGGCTGAGGGATTTCTTCAGCCTGGAGATCTCACAGCACCTTCCAGGACCTGCAGGGGCGACAGGGAAGATGGAGAGGGACTTTGGAGTGACAGGACAAGAGGGAATGCATTCAAACTGAAATTTGAATTTAAGTTGGATATACAGAAGAATTCTTCCCTGTGAGGGTGGCAAGGCCCTGGCACAGGCTGTCCAGAGAAGCTGTGGCTGCCCCTGGATCCCTGGAAGTGTCCAAGGCCAGGAGCAACCTGGGACAGTGGGAGGTGTCCCTGCCCGTGGCAGTGGGTAGGATGAGATGGGCTTTATGCCCCTCCCAACCAAACCATGATAATCTTCCCTGAAAATTCCCCCAGACTTTGAGCAGAGCTAGCACATCCCCTCAGATTTCTGTGGATTGAGAGATTCTCCAGGATGGGCTTCATCCAAAGGGAGAGGCGGTGATGTTCCACCGCTCTTCAGGGCGGGGAGATCTCAGGGATGGGGCAGTGTGGGGACAGGCTGGTGAATCCCTGCCACTTTTTCCTGTTAATTTCATATGGCTTTTGTTGTTGGTTCCTGTTGACGCTTTAGGTGAGGTCTGTCACAAGTCCTACATGCAGTTCTCCAACCTGTGCCGCCACAAGCGGATGCACGCGGACTGCCGCACCCAGATCAAGTGCAAGGACTGCGGGCTTGAGATGGGCTTTATGCCCCTCCCAACCAAACTATTCTGTGATTCCATGATAATCTTCCCTGAAAATTTCCCCAGACTTTGAGCAAAGCTAGCACATCCCCTCAGATTTTTGTGGACAGAGAGATTTTCCAGGATGGACTTTATTCAAAGGGAGAGGCGGTGATGTTCCACTGCTTTTTGGGGTTGGGAGATCCCAGGGATGGAGCAGACGGGGCGGTGTGGGGGCGGGCTGATGAATTCCACAGCAAATCAGTGCTGTTCTTTCCCGTTAATTTCATATGGCTTTTGTTGTTGGTTCCTGTTGACGCTTTAGGTGAGGTCTGTCACAAGTCCTACACGCAGTTCTCCAACCTGTGCCGCCACAAGCGGATGCACGCGGACTGCCGCACCCAGATCAAGTGCAAGGACTGCGGGCAGATGTTCAGCACTACCTCCTCCCTCAACAAGCACCGGCGCTTCTGCGAGGGCAAGAACCATTACAGCCCCGCCGGCATCTTCGCCCCCGGCCTCCCCCTCACGCCCACCTCCATCATGGACAAATCCAAGCCCTCTCCCAACCTCAACCACGCCAGCCTGGGCTTTAATGAGTATTTCCCGTCCCGCCCGCATCCTGGCGGGCTCCCGTTCTCACCAGCACCTCCAGCATTCCCTGCCCTCACCCCGGGATTTCCTGGGATTTTTCCACCTTCTCTGTACCCCAGGCCCCCCTTGTTACCGCCCACGCAGCTGCTCAAAAGTCCCCTCAACCACACTCCGGACGCGAAGCTCCCCAGCCCCCTTGGGAACCCGGCGTTGCCCCTGATCTCCTCGGTGAGCAACAGCAACCAGGCTCCTTCAGGGGAGGAGAAATGTGAAAGCAGCCTGGAAAACTCCTACCTGGAGAAGCTAAAAGCCAGGAACAGTGACATGTCCGATGGCAGTGACTTTGAGGATGTCAATACGACCACGGGCACGGATCTGGACACCACGACCGGCACGGGCTCTGACCTGGACAGTGACGCGGAGAGTGACAGGGACAAAACGAAAGACAAGAGCAAACAAATGGAGACCAAGGCAGATTTTGTCAGCAGCTCGGTGTCTGCCAGCTCCACCAACACCACGAGCGAGATTCCTCTCTTCTATTCTCAGCATTCCTTCTTTCCTCCCCCCGAGGAGCACCTGCTGCCCACCACGGGCGCTGCCAATGACTCCATTAAAGCTATCGCCTCCATCGCAGAGAAGTATTTCGGGCCTGGCTTTATGGGCATGCAGGAGAAAAAGATGGGTTCGCTCCCGTATCATTCCATGTTCCCCTTCCAGTTCCTCCCCAATTTCCCCCACTCCCTCTACCCTTTCACGGAGCGGACCCTCAATCACAACTTGCTGGTCAAGGCAGAACCAAAGTCACCCAGGGACCTCCACAAAGTCGGTGGCACCAGCTCGGACTCCCCCTTCGATCTCACCACGAAGCCAAAAGAGATTAAGCCAATCCTGCCGCCCCCCAAGGTCCTCCCAGCCCCGTCCTCAGGGGAGGAGCAGCCACTGGATCTGAGCATTGGCAACCGCATCCGAGCCAGCCAGAACGGAGGGAGAGAGCCACGGAAAAACCACATTTATGGGGAGAGGAAGCTGATGGCAAGTGAGGTCTTACCTAAGATTTCCCAGTCCCAGCTGCCTCAGCAGCCTTCCCTGCACTACGCTAAGCCATCGCCCTTTTTCATGGACCCCATCTACAGGTATTAACATACCCTGCCTTAAGCCCTTCCCTAACCAGCTCCTTTTCCAGCTGACACCACACTCTGAGGCAGGAGAGATTGCAGGTTGGTTGGGAAGAACAGTTGAGCATCTCCTGTTGTTGTTTGTACTTCTCCATACTTTGAATTTCCTGAATGGAAAGGCCTGAGTAATTGCAAGGAGCCCTCATAATCAGTGTGTAAAGAGCACATCCTTATTTTGATAAAGAAGAAACTTGACCTATTTAAGGACTCTCCCACGAGCCATCGCTAAGATGGCACTTCTGCTGGAGAAATTCCAGAGGTTTGATTCGATAAGAATGCAGAGTTCAGATTGCCTCGGAGCCCTGGGCTCTCATGGCTTGGGAATGAGTCAGGAGCCCTGGGAGCCTGGAAATGCAGCTCTCCCACTGACTGTCTCAAGGGCCTTTTGTGAGCCAGTTCACCTTTCTTTCTCCCTCCCTCCCTTTTCCTTTCTAATGCCATTTCTTGGGGTTTTTTCCGAGCTGCTGGTGCAGACCCAACCTGCCGAAACACGTTACTCTTGGAGTAACAAGTACTGTGTAAACACATGGTAGCGTGTTACTACCCAGATCTCTCCCAGATAGATTTCTCACAGATTTATCTTTCTTGGGAGATAGCAAGGCCTTTCTGGTGTCACTTGAACAGATGGTTCTGAGGAGGGCCTGATGCGTTACGTCAGAATGAGCTGAGCATGCAAGGCGTGTGTAGAGCAGGCTGGGTGAAGTTATCCAAATGTCAGCTCAACTTCCAGAAGGAATCAGTTCAGGAGGAGGCAAAAAGGGAAGACTTTGGCCTCTTGTTGCTTGAGAGCTTTTCATAAAACCTGTTCCCAAAGGGAACTATTATAACGTTGTGGTGAGGGTAACAGTAAATTTGTGTGTTACCCATCCTGGCATTGATTTTGGATAAGGTGGATACGGCACGTTTAATTTTAGCAAAGCCCAGTGAAAAGGCATGTCCTGAATCAGTTTGATTTAGACATTAACACATCTAAATTAGCCATTACCATGTCTAAAGGCTCCACAGCATCCATCTGGATACATGTGCTTATCCTGGAGCACTCCTGGACTCAGTTCATGGAGGTGAATGCTTTGTCCTTGCATTCCTTGTCATTGCTGTGCCCAGCCTGCTGGGAGGTTTCTGGCTGTTCCCCTGCAGGATCTGCCTCATCCCTGGCACTGGAAAACCTCAGAGCCACCGTGGTGTGATGGTGGGATGGGCACTCAGAAGGCTGTGAGCACCACGACAGCCTAGATGTCACCGGCTGCTGTCACAGGGCTGATAACTGTGGGGAAAAGTGATGTCAGTGTCTGGCCAGGCCAAGGAGCTGTCGGCTAGGATGAGGATTAGTGAGCCCTCACTGCTGGCTAAATGAGTGTCTCTGGCTCTGCCAGCTCACGGGGGTGACGTGCCCACACCGTGCCATCTGAAATGGGGACACCTCAGGAGGTGCCGTGTCCTGCCTGGCACCCACCGTGGCCATCTCCTCCTGGAGAAATCAGGCATGGTGGGAACAGCGTTCATAAAAACTACTCCTGCGGGGGAAAAAATAAAAGATCAATAAATGGGATAGAAAGGCAAAAGAATCTTTGTAGGATCCTGCCACCTTTGGGCATTCTCAGCAGGAATGCTGAAATAACACGGCTTGGAAAAGCCGCTGCCAATTAAAACAGCGGCCTCGGGAAAACCGTAAAGGCCCAGAAGACAGATGGAAGCGAAGGATGGGGGCATCGCTTGTTGCATTCCATGGGATGCACATAGTTTTAGTCATGTGTTAAAATAGAAAGTCAGCGGTGGCGTTGCTCGCGAATCAGACTTCTGATGTAATGAGTGAAACAGCCCAGCTTCCAAGTCCCAGCTTGAAAAATATGGAAATATTTTGTTTCTAAACTTCCCTTTATCAGACTCTCTCACATCATTTGGCTCCTCCGTTTTTTTTTTTCTCCCAAAGGCCACTTAAATCCTTGACATTTTCTCCTGGTGATATAATTTAATGCGGCCAGACAGTCTGAAATGGGGGCAGTTTTTAGCTCAGCCCGTGGGGGTGACGTTCTCAGGCACTGGGCTGAAACCATCGGCTTAATCCTCCATGCGCTGCGGAATTCGGCTCTGACGGGGACGTTTGGACCTCGTGTTTCCATTCCTGGGGCTGGGAGATGGCAGAGATGGGGAAATGCTGTCGGTTCACCAGGTTTTACGCGCACGGAGCAGGCAGGGCTCTGCTGGGATCGGGGATGTTCCTTTATGGAAAGCAAAGCTGGGCTGGTCAGAGGGGCTCAGGGAGCAACTTTTTACTTATTCTTTGGGTTTTTTGGCAACTCAGACCCATAAAAGCACGTACTTTCCAAAGCCCCCTAATTCTGTCTGCGTTTCCAACCCAGCTCTTCTCTTTTCCCTCTACCGAAGAAGAATTAAATGCAGATTAAGCACAGTTCGCTGACTGCACTCGGCAGGGCTCTTCTTTAAACTCTTTGGTAATTTGATCCACACACCAATCAGCTGAAATGCAGTAAAAGTAATTTGCTCTCAATTTATGCTAGACTAATGTAGTTAAAAATCATTCTTACTCTTGGATTTCTGCTGCTTTAGCTGGATGGACTCAATTCCAACCGTTTAAAGATGCAGCTGTGTTTGTTGGAGTTACTTTCTCAACACTTTTTTTTCCCTTAGAGAACATCTCAGTTTGTCTTTTTTGTGATTCCACACCTCCATTTCCCTGCAAGTAGAATATTTTGTGGAAGCAAAGCCAATATTTTCAAAAATAGGAGCCTCACTTTAGGGTCATTTCTGCATCTCGATGCTTAAACATGAAATATTTGAGTGGGCCAAGGTGATATCAGAAGAACTCAGGTTTCTGAGCCACTTCAGAATTCTCCCACCAGTCCCTCACTTTTTAAATCGTTGTTCACATGGGCTTGCCAAAGAAACTCAATGCAAATTATCTCTCAGCTGCGAGGGAGGAAACAAATATGAAACACCTAATGATTTCAGCACGCTTGGGGCTGCAGAGTCTGGCCCAGTGTTAACGCTTCAGATAAATGCAAGCTCTCAAAGACAATTCTTTTTTTTTTTCCATGTGGGGGCTGCCTGCTGTGGACCCTAGAGCTTCTCCTGCTCAGACAGTTTTGCTCTAAATGCAAGGTTTTCCATGACCTTTCTCAACAGCAGAGGTTTACAAACCACTGCAGCAGAGCAGGAGCAAAATGTTTTCTTAGTCATCAGCCTGAAGGCTTAAAAAATTACTGCCCAAAGGAGGGGATTTGTGTTCATGTTGTTCCCAGTGCTTTTTGTGGGGCAATTGTGCATCAGATTCAGTAGTGTCCAGCAGAAGGGGGTGTAAGATGTTTTTGTGAGTAAGAGAATAACCCTGTGTGCAATTTCAGCCCAGCGTGGCTGTGTGGGGCTGCCTGTGGGGTATGTAACCCTCTGTGTTGTTGTCCAGCAGGGTGGAGAAGCGGAAGGTGACAGACCCCGTGGGTGCCCTCAAGGAGAAGTACCTGCGACCCTCCCCGCTGCTTTTTCACCCCCAGGTAAAAGCAGGGATGCTGCTGATGGGATGCTGGGGTGGAGCTGGTACACACTGGGACCACTGGGATCACTGGGATCAGGCTGTTCCTCATCCTAAGACCTGACTGGAAACTCCACTGTTCTCTACCAGTTCCTTCCAGACACACTTAATGCACAGTTTGAAGATGATGGCAGCTGTACCAGAAACACAGGGATGAGGTCTGGGCAGCTCATAGGCTCTGCCAAACTCCACAGCCCACAATTCCTGCATGGTTTTTCCTTTGGGAACACCTGTGGGTGTCATTTGCAGTGGTAGAAGGTGGAGAAGAACTGCCCAGCCCCAAGGCAGCAGCATTTTCCACCTTCCTGAATTTCCCACATCATGAGGAGAGTGCGGCAGTGCAGGGCAGTGGGTTCAGCTGTGCGTGTCCCTCCTGCTATGCCCAGGCTGGGATCCCAGCTCCCTGCTCCTCATTGTGCTCTCCTTTATAGTCACAAGCATTGTTCTCCCCTGATAATGTTTCCCACCTTAGATAAATAACCTGCAGGTTTGTGAAATCTGGGTCCTGGTGGCTTTCACAGCTAAACTTAGTTCCCGCATTGTTTCGCACCAGCCTCAGAGTTTGGTTAATAACTTCCCCTGATTTTTCCTTCATCCAGGCTGGATAATGGTGACAGGCTGGCCAGGAACATCCTGTGTTTGTGTGGCTTAGAATAGTGGGGATATCTGCCTGTAAAGAATCTGATAGCAGGGAGGAGCCAGCGTGGCAAAGCAACCCAAGGAGACGATGAGAAACATTCAGACCCCAAGCAGGAGCAAGCTCTGGGTGGAAGGTTGTTAACATTGTTCCTGAAACCCTGACCACGTCCTCTTCCCATGGCAGTGGAAAGATCTGCAAGGTCTGGTTATCTCTAGCTGCTTATCACACAGAATAGCCTCAAATTCACAATCACTCCAGCCCAAAGCTTCCTGATAACTGATTTTTAATAATGATTTTTAATAAGGCGGGCGCTGTGCTCAGATCACTCGATCTGGAGAGGCGCCGTTCCCATGCTGCAGTCAATCAGGTATTTCAGACACAGCAAAGGAACACCAGGCATTTGTTCCAGAATATGAGAGATTTGTACCACCAGATCTCTTCCAGCATTATCACAGAATCTCCAGTATAAATATCCTGAGCTGGAAGGACCATCCAGTCCAACCTGTGCCCTGCACAGGACACTCCAACAATCCCACCCTATGTCTGAGAGCTCTGGCAGCCTTGAGGCCGTGACCATTCCCTGGATCCAGCATTGCTAAGAATTCTGGATCCTGGATCCTTTCCCAAGAAATCACATTTTCAGGGTTCCTGCTTCTGCTTTCTTCATTAGGACCAACGGTGGAGTCACGTTGGTCCTAAACCATAAACCAACCAGTCAGAGTCACGTTCTACCCAGGCTTTTCTCACTCCAAACACGAGTCTGGTCTCAGCCTTTTCCTCTGTGACTAATCCCCAGCTCTCTCAGAGTGCCCTCACCGGGATGTGATGAAGCCAGAAGATGTGATAAAAGCGTTCAGGAGATGTTTCCTCTCTCAAAATGAATTTCAGGCAGCTCTTATTTCTTAGCCAGTCGTTGGCAGAAGTTCCTTTGCTCCCTGGGAGCTTTCCTACATTGTCTATTCCAAATGAAACTCTGGACAACATAAATAACCCGTGTAACTTTTTGATAACTTAATGGAAAGCCTTTCCTCACCTGTTAAGTTTCTTTTCTTCCCCCTTTCTGTTTTATTATAACCAGGCAGTTGTTCCCTAAATAGCAAAGTGCCTTTGCCACTGGAGAGGCCGTGGCCAGTGTTTAGAATTTTAAAACCAGCCTACAGCTCTCAAGCCAGCAAATATCTCTGACTAAGTGCCTAAAGAACAGGGCACAACAAAGGAGAGCTCCAGGTACCTGGGTGAAGGGCTGAGAGCTCGGCTCTGAAAGGTCCGGAGAGCTTTTTAACGTGATGGTTTTGTTGCATGACTGGCAGCTGGGGCAGAGCTGGTGCTGTAAATGATCAAGTAACCTTTTCAAGTGGCTGGTGCTAAGTATTACTTACTATTTATCATGGGCTGGGAGCCTCCAGCTAAGGGGCTGTGGATCTATTATCGAGAAATGGGGGTTACTACTCCTCTTTTTTAACAGCTTATGAATGCTTGTCAGCCCTCACAATGTCTTCAGGGGTGATTAAGACAACTTTTTTTTTTCACAGCCATATATTTTTAAACAATATCTTCCCCCTCTGCCCCCCCACCCCCACCCCAAGCCTTTTAAAGCCCAGTTTAATAAAGTGTAAACGTGCAAAAGGTCAGCCCTTCCTGTACAATCGAGCATCTCAGGGTGATGTATGGCTTCCTACTGCCTTCCGCTCCTCGCTGCCGCCCCGGCTGCCTCCGCCTGTCCCACTGATGTCAGCGCGGCCAGGAGGCAGCTTTATTGCTGCCTTGTTTGTTTTAGCCCTCTCTTCTGCCCCTGGTATCTCCAGAGTGCTCTCAGGAGTGCACAGAGCTGGACGTCGGAGGAGCCAGCGCTGTTCTCTGAGCCGTACTGCTCGCTCAGACTTGGATTTCCTGCTGCGCTGTAATGAAAGTAAAAGTGCTGTTCTTTAGGCAGGATTTTTATGCAGATTCATTTTTTACTTTTTTGCACATGGCCCAGCTTCATTCTTTCCTTTTCTGCTTTCTCCTGTATCTCCAGGGGTTTCCCTTTCTCCCTCTTTCTGGTGCGGTGTTTAATCTCGTGTCTGTGAGAACAAGGCCAAGTCCCACAAAGTGAATCTGAGCAAGCATCCAGGGTCATTCTGCTTGGTGTCCGAGCTCCAGGCCTGCATGCCAGCTGCTCCCAGCCCAAAGGGATGTGTAGGATGTGTAGGTGTTGCCCCTCCTGCCCGTAACTCACCCAGCCACCGCTCACATCCAGGGGTTTGGCTGGAGCTCCCTTTGACTCCAGGAAACTCAGCAACCTCCCTCCCATCCTTCCATCACCTTTAGGAGCTGCTGAACCTTTCCTAGCCATAATTAAAGTGTTGGCCTCTTCACCAGCAAGCTCCCTGTGGATCCATTCCATCCTGAGCCTGATCCCAACTCCTCCTCTTCCCCTCTTCACCCCTTCCACCTCTCCTCTCCTCTCCTCTCCTCTCCTCTCCTCTCCTCTCCTCTCCTCTCCTCTCCTCTCCTCTCCTCTCCTCTCCTCTCCTCTCTCAGCTCCTATCACACATCCTTCCCACTCCACTCTGGCCAGGATTCTTCTGCTTTGGGCCCAAAACTTGCCTGTTCCCCCTTTCCTGGGTTTGTGTCCCTGCCTGCCCACCCACCCCTCACTGCCCTGTCCTTCTGAGCCCCCAGGATGCTGTAGGAGAAATCAGAACTCCCAAGACTTTGGTACTGAGTTCTACCTCAGGCATCTGACCATGGTGTTTAGTTTTAGAGTTTTCCTGGTAAAAAATTCAGTTGAATTCCTGATAAAAAATGGATGTCTCAGGTGTGTTCTGAGGTAATTTTTGAAAGTGAGCACATGCACACTGCAGAAAGTGAACAAGTGCTCATTTCTGGGACCTGGCCTTGCCTGGCTTTGCCAGTTGTGCCTTTCCTGCTTTCTCCATGACCAACACACTACTCCAGTCATTCCTGGCTGGATCCAGTGGCTCCATTTCCCGCCGTGCCTCCAACTTCCAAGACAGCCAACACCAGCAGGAGGCTTTGCCCAACCAAAACCGGTGTTTCGTGCATCAGATGTTGCCCTTCCTGGGGATTCCTCTGACAGCAGCTATCTCCTTGTCCTTGCAGATGTCAGCCATCGAGACGATGACAGAGAAACTGGAGAGCTTTGCAGCAATGAAGGCCGACTCTGGCTCGTCCCTGCAGCCCCTTCCCCACCACCCCTTCAACTTCAGATCGCCGCCACCAACGCTCTCCGACCCCATCCTGCGCAAGGGCAAGGAGCGCTACACCTGCAGGTGAGCCGTGCACCCCACGGCATCCACACTGACCCCCAGGGCATGGAAACACCCCAGGGATGTGGGAATAGCCCAGGATGTGCCATCCCAGCTGGGCACTGGGCACCAGCAGGGAGAGGAGCAGCTCTGCGCCGGCATCTCCGCCAGGAGCGGCGGAATTAGAGCAGAGCTGGGATGACTAATTCCCTCTGAAATAGCTTGTTTTGTCTGGTAGGAAATCAGCATCTTCTGTTTGCTTTGTAATTTTTAATAACCTTGGGAGCAGATCTGGAGATTCTCAAGCAAGCCCAGCTCCCCAGGCCAAGTCTGGCGTGCAGCGGCGAGCGGCACTGTTCCCAATGCCAGTCCCGGCTATGGCCAACCTCAGCTGTGGAAAAATGATTGAATTTTTAAAAATGGCATGCAGGAAACAAATTTTCAAACTGTTCTATCCACAGAACTCCTCATAGACCCATCCAACTCCAAATTGGAGCAGATCAAGGGTATTTAATAATAAACTGTCTGCTCTCACAGTTTTACCTCAAAGTTCTCATGGTGGCTCCTTCTGAGGAAAATTTTTTTGGTTGCAAAAAGTGGATTCAAACTTTGGTTGATGTGTCTCTTATGTTCCACTTTGCCACAAGAGCTACAGGCTCGGATTTCAGTTGAGTATTTAGAAATTTGAGGTTTCTATTTACAAAAGGGACTAAACTTAAATTTTACATGCACACTCACTCAAGTTAACATTTGGATTTTCATTGCTGGGGAGCACTCACATTAACTGCTCATCTTCAGGACAGCTGAAGGTCTCTGAAATAAGGAAAGTCTGTCATGGTTTCCTCCTACAAAAGGAGTTGTTATTTTCCAATTAGTTTTTATTTATACCTTTTTAATTTTACTGTGAGCTGGATTTATGGGGGAACACAATTCCTTCCTTTATTAATAATTTCCTACGGCTGCATTTCCTCGCTCTAAGCAGCTGTCAGCCTCCTAACCCATAGTGCTGTAGCCTTTATCCAGAGAAAATTCTGTGAATTCCAAGGATGAAAGAGCAGATTCTGTTTGATGAGCACATCAACAGGGCTATAAAGGAGATGCAGAAACATCTCAAGTGCCAATCTGCCCAGGCAGTGATTAAACCCTCTGTTCCCTGATGCAGGAATGCTGTAGTTAAACCCTGCCTTCAAGTGCCTTGTCCACACTTCCTTTGAACACTTCCAGGGATAGTGATTCCATCACCTCCCTGGGTATCCCATTCCAACTGTCTGACAAGCTTTTCTGTGAAAAAAAATTCTCAAGTATCCAATCTAAAGCTCCTCTGGTGCAACTTGGGGCTGTTTCCTATTGTCCTGTCCCCCATTCTGTGGGAGCAGAGCCTGACCCCACCTGGCTGAACCCTTCTGTCAAGGAGTTGTAAGAGTCAGAATGTTCTTCTTGACCTTCTTTTTCTCCAGGCTGAGCCCTCCCAGCTCCCTCAGCTGCTCCTGGTGCTCTGTAACCCTGTGACCCTGGGCTGGGAGATGTGTCCTCCCCATCAGGGATGAGCTCGTGATGTGAGCACACAAAGGGATTTTGGGAGTGATGTCAGAGTGAGGGGTGCAGGTGGTGCTGTGGCATCTTTCACAGTTCTATTTCCCCAAAATATCAATTCTTATTTGCAAGGCCATCCTTTGAAACTTGTCTCTAGCTCCATTTCTCTCTCGGCAACGTCTGTCCCATCCCGTGGCATTTCTAAATCAGCATTTCATATCTCCAGGTTTGCACACTATGTGAGCCTTCTGTCAGGTTTGGAGAATTCCCTACAAATCCATTTCCCACAGCATCCTTGGGCTCTCCTGATGGCTTCCTTTGGTTCTCCTGATGGCTTCCTTTGGTTCTCTGTGACCGTGTTCACAGGGGTTCTTAGATGAGGGAAGAGACGAACATCTGACTTCATGTTTCAGAAGGCTTGGTTTATTATTTTATGATATATATTACATTAAAACTATACTAAAAGAATAGAAGAAAAGGTTTCATCAGAAAGCTAACTAAGAATAGAATAGGAAAGAATGATAACAAAGGTTTGCAGCTCAGACTCTGTCTGAGCCAGCTGGGCTGTGATTGGCCATTAATTAGAAATAACCACATGAGACCAGTCACATATCCACCTGTTGCATTCCACAGCATCAGATAACCATTGTTTACATTTTGTTCCTGAGTCTTCTCAGCTTCTCAGGAGGAAAAATCCTAAGGAAAGGATTTTTCATGAAAAGATGCCTGCAACAGTTCTCCTGATGGTTTCCTTTGGTTCTCCTGATGGTTTCCTTTGGTTCTCCCTCTCCAGGTACTGTGGCAAGATCTTCCCACGCTCAGCCAACCTGACGAGGCACCTGCGGACACACACTGGGGAGCAGCCTTACAGGTGATGTTGTCCCCCATTAAAAATCCCCTTTCCCAAACACTCCTCACTCACCACTCTGGTATTTTTCCCCCACCCTCTCCTCTACAAAGCGGTGCCAGCAGAATACCACAGGCCTGGAGCATTACACAGGGTGATTCATAGGGTTGTATATTATGTGTACCAGCCAAAAATAATCAGGCTTGGCAGCTCGAAGATAGACACTTAACTTATATTTAGATGTATGCTGGCAAATGAGGGCTCTGATTTGCAGTGTTGTTTCGCACTCACGTTAACCATTCATCTCAAGGACAGCTGAAGGTGCTGAATGGCTCTGAAATTCAGACTGGTTTGAAGGGCTTGCCAGGACCTTCACTGCTGGGGCGAGCTGGGGTTTTGGTTTTTTTTCTTTTCTTAATGCACATCAGAGGTGCCTGGAGTAGGGGATCAAAAAAGCAAAGGCTTGGGTTTGATTCCTGATGGTCACTGATTAAATTTTTTTGATTTTCTTTTTTTTGGAGGGCTATGAAGTCACTCAAACTTCTACTTAAGAAGTCTAATTATGTCTAAAGTAGGAATTAATAGCACATGAACAGCATGCTGTTGATTCCTACTTTAACATAATATACACGAGGCAAATTCTTTTTAAAAAGAGAAAATGCAACATGCAAAAACGTGTCTGTTTACCTGCCTTAAAACTGAATTTTGATAGTTTCTGAGCTTAAATCATGGAGTTTAAAGGGAGAGCTGGGAGGGGGGGATTCACACAGAGTCTCACACATTTGTGAGTGTTTAAGGTAGAAAGCTGAGCTGTTTTCTGTTAGCTGGGGACAAGGTGATGTGATTTTGATGCTTTAGTGTCCACAAGGACAGCATCCCAGCCCAGTGGCTCCTGCCCAAGTCAGGGCTTTAAATCTGAATAAAACTCACAAGAAAATATATGTAATATGTGTGCCTAGGTATATAAATAACTATTTCTCATGGAAATCTTTACCCCCAGCATTTTCTCCCAGCGAGTTGCAAGCAGTTTTAAAAAAATTGAGGGAAAAAAAAATGCCTTTTTTGTTAGAATGAAGTCCAGAAATGAGCAAACCTGAAGGAATGATGAATTGAGAGCTTGCTGCAAATCAAGCCTTGTGTTTGCCACGATGTGAGGGAGTGTTTTGCAGGTTGTCAAACAATGGTAACAATTCCATTTCGTTTTGGGTAGCTGATATTGCAGCGTTTCATACACAGCCATAAGTTCACAACAAAGCAAATGGAGCAGTTATTAAATAAAGAGAAACACAAATTTATGAGCAGCAAAAGGCCATGTGGTCAAATACATCACATTTTTATGCTCAGTTTAACCTAAGAATTGACTCTCCCACATTGCAATCCCCGCTACGCTGAGAATCACGTTTATTTTCCATCCAGCATTTTTAGTGTAGACATTAGGTAAATTAAAAATCCACCACCCCCCCCCCCAGAGCAGACATATATTTTGTATTATACCCCTGCTGTGATGTTTGGGGTTGTGTTATTTGATATGCCTGTGCGTTCCCTGTCCACTGCAACCCTCGCTCCTGATTATTCCGAGATCCTTAGTTCAGTTTTCTTCCAAAAAAGGAGACTTGCAACTTAACAAAGGTTAGGAAAATAAAGATTTATTTGATCTGGTCTTCTCCCAGCAAAATAGCCTGTGTGGGTTTTTCAGAGGTCTGACTCCTGGACAATGTTGAATTCTAACAGCACTCCGGAGAGCCGGGGCTGCGTTCGCAGACGAGCTTTAATTATCATTGATTTGCTTTTCCTCTCAGAGAACTGAGATTTGCAGCTTTGGCAGCCAGGCTTGTTTTGAGAGCTTGGTTTTTAAGTGCTGACTTCAGGCAGGTACAAGGAGGCTGCTGATTTCTCAGTGTTTTACTGTTGTCTCCTTTGCAACTTGTTTTTGATTGTTTAATTTCTTTTTTTTACCCTATAAAAATATTTTTATATACAATAATTTAAGTATTAATCCAAATATTATTTACTTTGTTCTTAAAGACAACAGGCTAGAAAATAAAGGCTTGGATTTGATTCCTGATGGTCACTGATGAAATTTTTTGAAGTTTGTTTGGGGAGACTATGAAGTCACTCAAACTTCTACTTAAGTGTAATTATGTATAAAGTAGGAATTAATAGCACATGAGCAATAACGAGTCAAATTCTTTTTATAAAGAGAAAATGCAGCATGTTTTCTGAAGAGTGATAAATACCTGGTGATGCACTTCCTAAAAATCAAATTATTTGAAAACACTCCGAGCCCCTGTGCCATACAGTGAAATTCAACATGTTTCTTTCCACTCTTTTTTTTATTTTTCTGCACCAAACCTGAAATTCTGGACTATGTATTTCAGAATTCAGAGTAAAAAAGCCCTTGGAGGCTTTGTGTCCTGTTATCTGCAATAAGCTGGAACTGAGAGCCACAGCTGACATCTACCATGTCATTTAAATTGCACATAGTTCAATAAATATTGAAAATATTTCTTATTTTCTGGTTTTCAAAATGCAGCCTGAGCTCACCCTGCTATAAATGCACTTGAGGCTAGGGAGTCACTCAGAGGGAGAGTTGCTATTCGTGTGTGTTTTTTTGTTTTTTCCTGCAATTCTGCCTCTCCAGCTCACACTGATCAGTGCAAAACTTCACGAGAGTGACTCGGAAATTCTCCCCACATCCCCAGGGTTTGCTTTGTCCCAGGTACCCGAGCTCCTGCGGCTCCCAGGATTTCCTGCCCGAGCTCCACAGCTCCAGCCCTGTCCCTCCCTCCCTCTTTGGATGTTTTCAGCTGATAAGGGAGAGGCTTTGTGGGGCTGTTTGCAGAGCAAACACCGCTGCCTCCGAGTTTTATTCTTCTCCTCCCTCGCCGTTCACCCCTTCCCCTGAATTTCAGCTGGTTCCTCTGCCTGGGCCATTTATTTAGATTAAAACCAGCAGAGCTCCCAGCACTGACCCCTCTGGGACCACAAATAACGCCGGACATCTCCCTCATCCCTTTGCATTCCCTGCTCCTTCCCTGTGCCCCTCTGGTTCCTATTTTTTTAACAAGCTCTTTATCCCTCCCCATTCCCGACCCTGCATCCACATAGCTCATGGTTAGGGCCAGGATCTGTCACAGGGAACGTTTCAAAGGCTTCCTGAACATCTAAATAAATGGATGTGGAGGAGGCCAGGTCGTTCATTGCCTTGATTTGCTTTTAAATGTCTGGAGCTGCTCCTGGCAGGGACAGCCAGGCTGGGAATATGGATTATCCTGGTGCCCACTGTGCCAGGTATTCCCTGTGCCAGGCACTGGGATTCACAAAAAAAAAGGGATTTTTAGGAGCTGGTGAGGACAGGCAGGGAGAGAAAACCCCTGGCATCATCAAGGATGAGAGGGGAGCTTCTGGTCTGAATAAAACCACTCAAGGATGAGAAGGGAGCTCCTAGTCTAAGCTGGATAAAACCACTAAAGCATGAGAAGGGAGCTCCTGGTTTAAGCTGAAAATCTCATGGAAATCTCATGGAAATATCAGGAATATTAGGATATTGGCAGGTTTGGATATTGCATTTTGCTGGAGCGCTGAGCAGGAATCTGAGAGCAAATTCCTTGGTGCTGGAAATCCGTGTTTCACTCTCTGTACAGATTTTTCTTGATAAATCCCCATGTGATTGTTCTTGCTGATGTTCAAATGCCTCCTTGTTTTCTAGAGTTGTTTGGGGGGTTTTGAAAAAAAAAATTAGAAAATTAAATACTTTCAGAGTCTGGAAATGCTGTGGTTTAAAAATTTTCTCTCTGCCTTGCTTAATCCTAATAAAGGCCCATTATTTGAAATATCTTTATTCTTGTTGGAGATTTAGCAGTAGGAAATTCGGAGGTGGACATGGAATCCATAAACATCCAGCGAGAGAGAGAGAGTGTTTCATAAATGTATCCCCGCTTTTTCCAAAAATAATATCGATTTATTTTTAGAGCCCGAATAAAAATCCCAGCTGGAGCACGTCTGGAAAATGAGGGGTGTGTGTGTTTCACAGCAGGGATCTTTCCCACTCCACTGTTGTGTCTGTAGGGAGGAATCCCATGTCCTCTGTGTCATCCAGCTCCATCCTTGAGTGAGGCAGGCGTGGGGTGAGTCTGGAGCTGCTGATACTCCCAAAATCTCCATCTCCACGTCCTGGAGGGCTGGGGAGGCTCTGGCACAGGCTGCCCCATCCCTGAGAGTGTCCAAGGACAGGTTGGAGCCACCTGGGATAGTGGAAGGTGTCCCTGGCCACAGCAGGGGTGGCACTGGATGGGATTTAGAATCCCAAAACCATTCTGGAATCCCAGGATTTCCATGGAAGAGTAGCTCAGCTCCATGGGGCAGATGTTGCTGTGGGTTAGAAGAGCTCAGAGTGGATTTATTCAGGAATAAATCCAGAATGTGGAGCCTGCTTGTGTGGATTCATTCTGGGATTGCAAGGGGTCGGGAAGAGCCGGAATTTTGGAAGCATCCCGGATTTGTGGCGGAGACAGATTCTGCTGCTCGCGGGTTTTGGAAGCAGAGCCGTGGGGCAGCATCTTTGCTGAGGCACAAGAGACGTGTTTAAAAGGAGATGGAATGAGGGATTCGGGCAGGAATGAGGTTTTCAGGAGTTTTAGACCCAAACTCTCCAGCGCAGCTCGGAGCTGCCACCTTCAGTCCATCAGCGGCTCCGAACCCTCTCACCACCAACCCGAGCAATTCCCATTTATTTGGAGGCAATCTAAACTCCAAAATTCCCAATTCCCATTTATTTGGAGGGAATCTAAACCCAAAAATTCCCAATTCCCATTTATTTGGAGGGAATCTAAACCCAAGATAAAAGGAGGTGGTGGCTTTGAACAAGCCCCCAGCCCATCTGCCGTGGGTTCTGCAGAGATTGAGCTCAGAGAGTGAACATCTCTTCACTCAGCACCCTGAGCATCCTGGCTTGGCTCCTTGCATTCATCACAAACCAGATATTCACTCCTAGGAGTAAATCTTACCCTGTTTGGAAAGGGTGGTGGATTTCTTTGCTATAAGAATAATTATAATTGCCTTTAAATCCATGCTGAAATCCCCGCATATGCAGTACCACAAGGAATTTCACAAATAAAGCCAGAATTTTCTGTGTGTCCAGCTAACTGTCACGCAGGGATTTGCCAGTTAATAACTATTTTATACATTTCACCTTCCTTCTTTCTTCTTCTGTCTTCCTTGTCCTCCCTCTTCAGCCATATTTCACCTGATTCCTCTCAAAAAAAGTGGAAGGAATAAATCCACCTTTCTCATTCCTACATCCATGCATGGAAAAGTAATTATTTTGTCTCAAGCTCTTATTTGTTTGGACGACTCACTTCCTAATTAATCCTAATCCTTTCTTTGTTCTCCTTGAGTAACAATAATATCAGATTTGTCTGGGATGATTAATGCTTTGTGCTTCCTTCAGCACAATCTTTATTCCTGAGTAAAGATTTATAGACCAGCATTTCCTGGGGTTTTGATAGTCAGATTTTTCTCCTTGTTTTTTTAATTTTTTTTGGTTTTTTTCCTCACGTTGCACCTTTTGCTGTTGTTTTCCAGGTGTAAATACTGTGACAGGTCATTCAGCATTTCCTCCAACCTGCAGAGGCACGTCAGGAACATCCACAACAAGGAGAAGCCATTCAAGTGCCACCTGTGCAACAGGTGCTTTGGGCAGCAGACCAACCTCGACAGGCACCTGAAGAAGCACGAGCATGAAAATGTTCCAGGTAGGAAAACACTCTGGAGAGAAGAGACTCCATGGTCTTGGCCCTTGGGAATCCTTGCTGGAATGCACTGTCCCCCTAAGGATGAGTTTGTAGGGTTGTTTGTAGGGTTTTTTTGGAAGTTCGAGAAGATCAACAGGTTTTGTTTTGCACAATTGTGTGCATTGCATTGTCCATAAATGTGAAATATCATCTGTATTTTGGTCTGGGAAACACAATCTTCCTTTGGGATCTTTGATAGAACGTTCCAAGTAGGGAAACACTCTGGGAATCTCTGAAGAGAGGAGACTCCATGGGCTTGGCCCTTGGGAAGCCTTGCTGGAATGCACTGTCCCCCCAAGGATGAGTTTGTAGGGATTTTTTGGAAATTCAAGAAGATAAATAGGTTTTGACATAAGAAATGAAAGGAAGGAATTGCTGTGATGAAGTGATTTCCCAGCATGGGTAAAAAATGTATTATGGAAAAGTTGTAGGCAAATAGTTCTGCAATGGTTGTTAAATTGTGTGTATTGTTCATAAATGCTAAACATCACCTGTATTTTAGTCTGGAAAACACAATCTTCCTCTGGGATCTTTGGTCCATGACTTTCCTCTTGAGTATTAAACCACTAATATAAAGTGAGAAGGCAGTTGAGAATATTTTTAATTTGTTTCCTCATAACTCCTGTTGTCTCTCCTGCCCCACAGTGAGCCAGCACTCCGGAGTCATCACCAACCACCTCGGGACCAGCGCCTCCTCCCCCAACTCGGAATCAGACAACCATGCACTTTTAGATGAAAAAGAGGATTCCTATTTCTCAGAAATCAGAAATTTTATTGCCAACAGCGAGATGAATCAAGCGTCGGCTTTAGCAGATAAAAGGTAGGCAAGAAAATAAAATTATTATATTTAATTATATATATTTAAATTGTTGAGGATAGAGCCCAGAGAAGGAGGAAGGCTTCTTGTCCCACAAATGTTAATTTTAAGAGATGAAAAACCAGCTTTTAAATCAAATTTTGTAGTTCAAAAAGCCTTGGGGTTGGTGCATTCTCAACATGCTCATTGGCCCTTAGGAACAGTGAAGGGTGAGTTTTAAATGCCTGAAGCACATTGGTTTTCTTCTTTGTTATATTTTAAATAATATGCATGTGTATATAAATGTATGTATATAAATGTCTCTATGTTCATATCAATGTATAATATTATCAAAGTTTTTCATTCCAGTGAGAATACATGACATAAACATTTGTCATCCTTTTTTTTTCTCTCCTTCCTTCCTTCCTTCCTTCCTTCCTTCCTTCCTTCCTTCCTTCCTTCCTTCCTTCCTTCCTTCCTTCCTTCCTTCCTTCCTTCCTCCCTCCCTCCCTCCCTCCCTCCCTTCCTCCCTCCCTCCCTCCCTTCCTTCCTCCCTTCCTTCTTCCTGCCCTTCAACCAACCATTTCAGGCCAGAAATCCAGGGTATTGATGGCAATTCCCAGTGCCACGGACTGGCAAACGAGAAGGCAGAAGATGTGGACGATGAGGACGAAGAACTGGAAGAGGAAGATGATGACAGCCTGACTGGGAAGTCCCAGGACGAGACGGTGTCGCCCACGGCGGAGCCGCGGGGAGCGTTCGAGGATGAGGAGGATGAGGAGCCCACGTCTCTCACCATGAGCTTTGACCACGCCCGAAGGTGAGGGGGCCATTCCTGGGGGGCTCAGACCCCTGCCCGTGTCTGTGGTGCATCGTCAGTGCTGTGGGTTTGTTCTCCAAGCCATCCATCCTCTGGTTGGATCCAAACCTTCACTCCAGATTCCATTTCATCATTTTGGGGAGGGACTCAAGCGGACTGCAAGGAGAGGCTGGAATGATAGCCAAAGCTTGAGGAGTCTAAATAGACACAAAACCCAGAGTTTTCAGAGTACGACAGCTCAGCAGATGTCGTTTTTCTCTCCAAAACTCTGGTCAGGGCAAGGGAAGAGGAGTCTAAACAGGAGAACAGACACAAAACCCAGAGTTTTCAGGATACTACAGCTCAGCAGATGTCATTTTTCTCTCCAAAACTCTGGTCAGGGCAAGGGAAGAGGAGTCAGTGCAATGCCTTTTGTGCTGTTATGGCCTTTTGAGTTGGAGCAAAATATTCTTGGAGCTCTGGCAAAAAGGGGATTCTGCCCCTCTGCCCTGCCCAGGTGAGACCCCACCTGCAGAGCTGCCTCCAGCCCTGGGGTCCCAGCATAGGAAGGATCTGGAGCTGCTGCAGAGAGCCCAGAGGCCCCAGGGTGATCAGAGGGATGGAGCAGCTCTGCTGGCAGGAAAGGCTGAGGGAACTGGGATTGTCCAGCCTGGAGCAAAGAAGGCTCCAAGGCGACCTTCCAGTGCCTGAAGGAAGCTGCTGGAAATATGAAGGGAGACTCTTCCCAAGGATCTGGAGAGACAGGACAAGGGAGAATGGATTTACCCTGAAAGAGGAGAGATACAGGTTTGATCTTCAAGGGAAATCCTTCCCTGTGAGGGTGCTGAGGCCTGGCACAGGTTTTCCAGAGAAGCTGTGGCTGCCCCATCCCTGAAGTGTCCAAGGCCAGGCTGGACAGGGCTGGGAGCACCCAGGGACTGCCCATGGCAGAGGGTGAAATGAGACAATCTTTAAGGTCCCTCCCAACCCAAACCAGATCCCATTATTCTATAAAAATTGAAGGATTTTTGCCCCAAGATCAAGCCATGTCTGAACACCTTCAAAATGAAAGATTGCTGCACACAGCACAGGCCCAGCTCTCTTTTTGCTGCAGTGTGCCCCACTTTCTGGGGGTATTCCCAGCACAAGCCAAACAGCATCAAGTGATGCCTCACCCAGCTTAAAAGCACCAATAGTTTTGGTGCAAAGCTGTCACTGAAGGCTAATTAATTATTTTATCATACTATATTATTCTATATTATATTACATTACATGTGAACTGAATCTGCCAAGCACTCAACTGCCCAGAATCTCGTGACTGTCCCGACAATCCCAACACACACCTGGATCCAACTGTTCAGTGAATCAAAACACTCTCACCAGAATCCAATTATCAATTCCCTTCAGGTAAACAATCATCCACCATGCATTCCACTTGTGAACAAACACAGGAGCAGCAAATGAGATAAGAATTGTTTTTCCTTTCTCTGAGGTTCAGAGAATGTGAATCCCAGAAATTTCTTGGGAAGTTGTGCCTTGCTTTTCTCCGTGAAGGGAAATGTGGTGACACAGAACCTCAGACAGAACCTGCTGCTTGTTGCTTTCCACTTTGAGGCAACTCTGGCATTTTGGGGTCTCCCCAACCCTGGCTGCCCAAGACAGAGAAGTCCAATGAAGCACAACCTGTCTGGGCCCCTCAGGCAGGCTCCAGAGCTGCAGGCTACCTTAGCAAGCTCAGCTCTTAGTGAGATCAGCTCTTTAGTGATTATCAGCTCATTTATGATTTCAGCTTTCTAAGTGCCTTGGGCAGACACAAGGAGAGAGAGGAGAAGGCTGTGTGAGGTTCCACAAGAGTGTCTTTATTGATGTCTTCTGTGAAGGTCTCAGGGACAGCTCTTCTGCCGAGCTGTGCAAAAGAAGCTCTTTATATATCCTTTATATAGGGTATAGGAGTTATATAGGGTATAGGAGTATATTTTTATATACCCTTTATTTAGGGTACAGGAGTTATATTGGATATAGGAGTTACATAGAGTATAGGAGTATATCTTTATATACCCTTTATATAGGGTATAGGAGTTATATAGCGTATAGAAGTTATATAGGATATAGGAGTATATTTTTATATACCCTTTATATAGGGTATAGGAGTTATATAGGGTATAGGAGTTATATACAAGTATATCTTTACATACTCTTTATATTTGGTATAGGAGTATATCTTTATATACCCTTTATATAGGATGTAGGAGTTCTATAGGATATAGGAGTATATCTTTATATATCCTTTATATAGTGTACAGCAGTTATATAGAGTATAGGAGTTATATAAGGTATAGGAGTATATTTTTATATACACTTTATACAGGATACAGGAACTATATAGGGTATAGGCGTATAGAAGTTATATAGAGTATAGGAGTAAATCTTTAAATACTCTTTATATAGGGTACAGGAGTTATATAGGCTATAGGAGTATAGGAGTTATATAGGGTATAGGAGTTATATAGTTTATAGGAGTATAGGAGTTATATCTGGTATAGGAGTATATCTTTATTTACCCTTTATATAGGGTACAGGAGTTCTAGGAATTGTCCAATAGTAGGGTCATGGGGAACGTGACCTATACTCTTACAGAGAGATAAGCAAGGGTCTGAAGGTGAAAAGAGGGGCTTCTTAGGTCCAGTCATCATGACCAGGCATTTCCTATCGAGACATTGCAGGCCCTGTGCCTGCCTCACCACCTCCTCCTCCTCCTCACTCCCCCCCATGCCATGCCGTGTCCGTGTCCGTCTGTCCGTCCCTTCACGCATGTGGCTGGTGAGCCCCCGTGGGTGGTGCATGCAGGCTGTGGGCCAGACGAGCTAACACAGGTCACCCCTTCCCCTGGTCCTTGGTACAGGTGTGTTGAGGAGGACGAAGCCGGCCTGTTAGATTTGGAGCAGATGCCGAATTTTGGGAAGGGGCTGGATCTCCGCAAAGCGGCCGAGGAAGCCTTTGAAGTTAAAGATGTGTTTAATTCCACCTTAGACTCTGAGGCAATAAAACAGACTCTGTACAGGCAGGCTAAAAACCAGGTGGGTATATCCAGAACCTTTTCCTAGCTTGCCACCAGATTAGGGAGCCGCTGGCCTCCTCCAGCCAAGGGTTATTTTCCATTTCCAGTGCATTATTTTCCCCTTCCAGAAGGTTATTCCCCCTTTCCAGTGCATTATTTTCCCCTTCCAGAAGGTTATTCCCCCTTTCCAGCAGGAATTCTAGCACACACATGAATGTGTCTCGTTGCAACTAAATTGAAATAGAGGAGGAAGGGTGTGGGCATCACCTTGAGATGGATTTATCTCAGCCTGTGCAGTGAGAATGGGGCTGTGCAGGAAGGGAGAGTCATTTGTGTGTTTTTATCTGTCTGTATAAATGTTTTTATAACTCTTTATTTATTTATACTTTGGGGTGGCTCGTCTGTTGGTAACCACTGAGGTTTGGTCTGCAGAAACAGCAACAAAGTGCCCTTGGGTTTGATTAAAACAGGTGTGAAAGACAAGAATATATCCAGGACTTGCAACCCAGCATGTCTAGAGGGTATCCTTGTTTATCTCCTGGATTTCTAAAACTAAACCAGAAAATGGAAAAGAAATTTCCCAACCCTGTGAGCCAGATCACTTTAGACTCACCAAAAACCATCAGAATGGCATCTCAGAATTACTGAGATTCTTGGAGTTCTGAGAAAAATCTGGAGGTTTGGGGCAGGTCTGTGTGTGCTTTCTGTTTTTTTCATTAGCCAAAATACCCAGTCTGGGTTTATAGAGTTGATCTCTTGTTTTTTCCTCCTTCACAGTGGGTGCCAGTAGTGAGGCTGGGGAGGGGCGGCTGGAAGAGAGAGCTCAGAGGTTTTTTGGGGTGACACCCATTTAAACAAAAGACACTTGCTTGACTCTTTCCTGTGTCCTGTCACTAACATCTCAAATGCACTAATTCTTTGGGAGCAGCTTGTTTTTTTCCCAATGTACCACCCTGCTACAGCCTGTGCTTGGATGGGGGAAAAGTATTTTTGATTTTTGACTCTGTTTTACACTTGAATCACAACAAGCAACTTAAATAATTTGACCCATCTTTTGGCAGGTAATATAAAACCTTAGTTTGAACAGCACATCACTCCTTTGGCTTAATTTTAAGCAATTTTAGAAGTGTGTGTGTGTCCACAAAACCCAAAAATTGTACTTCTTCCCTGAGGCAGGGTGGTGGAAAGGGTGGGGACTGTGTCCTCCTCTTTTTCAGGCCATGGGTGACAATGGCATTGGTTTTCCCCTCTTCTATATGAGGTTATCATCTGCCTGAGCCCTCACATCATTCCTGTGGGCTGAGAAAGGTCACAGAGAGATGTATGAGACAATTCTTGTGTCCTGGTGGAGGGAGAGCAGCCAGGTTATAAAGAACCAGCAGTTTGTTAAGAGAACAAACAAATCTCGCTGCATTTCTCTCACCAGACACCTTTAAGGGTTTCACTGCAGCGATAAACCCACCCTGGGCACACTGGTCATGAAAATGAGAATTCCACATCCTTAAATATCCATGTTGGCATCACCAGCGGGGCCATGCCAAGCATCAAGGCAGGATGAGCAGCTGCTCACCACTTCCCACTGGGCACTGCTGCCCAGCCCAGCCTCACTGATCTCTGGGGATGTGATTTTTTAATAACAAACCCCACTAACAGCTGCTTTCCCCTGAGAGCAGAGCCTGGAATCGTGTGGAGCTTTGTCACAGAGCACAGGCAGTGCAGGATGGGTTTGCTCCTGTGAAAACCAGTGGGAATGATTGTTTCTCCTATAAACCATGACAAATCTGGGTTTTTTGAGAGATGGGTTGTGGAGGTTTGTGACTGAGCACAGGCCGTGCAGGATGGGTTAAATCCTGTGAAAACCAGTGGGAATGATGGTCTCTCCTATAAACCATGACAAATCTGGGGTTTTTGAGAGATGGATGGATGTGAGTTGAGCCCAGCACAGAGGATGCTGCTGGCCCAGGTGGGCAGGGTTGGATGGAGCTGTGTTTTACACAGTTTTCCTCCATCCTCTGTGCCCTTGCATCGCTCTGTCTCCCAGGCTTATGCAGGGCACTGCTGCCCCAGCCCAGCCTCACTGATCTCCGGGGATGTGATTTTTTAATAACAAACCCCAGTAGCAACTACTTCAGAGCCTGAAATCATGTAGAGTTTTGTCACAGAGCACAGGCAGTGCAGGATGGGTTTGCTCCTGTGAAAACCAGCGGGAATGATGCTTTCTCCTGTAAACCATGACAAATCTGGGTTTTTTTGAGAGATAGGTTGTGGAGGTTTGTGGCTGAGCACAGGCAGTGCAGGATGGGTTAAATCCTGTGAAAACCAGACCAGTGGCAATGATGGTCTGACTGTCCTTATATACCATAACAAATCTGGGTTTTTGAGAGGTGGGTGCCATTCCAGAGCGTGGATGTGAGTTTAGCCCAGCACAGAGGATGCTGCTGGCCCAGGTGGGCAGGGTTGGGTGGTGCTGTGTTTTACACAATGTTCCTCCATGCTCTGTTCTCACTCATACCCTTGCCCCATTCTCTCTCTCCCCAGGCTTATGCAATGATGCTGTCCCTGTCTGAGAACGCTCCCCTCCACACGTCCTCCCAGAGCTCTCTGGGGGCTTGGCTGGACATGGCAGGAGCAGCTTCAGAGTCGGGGACCTTTAACCCCATCAACCACCTCTGAGAGGTCCACAAGGCACTGGCCAGAGCCCAGGTGAGGCAGTGGTGGTGCTGCAGCCATCCCAGCAAAATCCCAGCGAGCAGAAGATGGATGAGAGGGCCTCAGGGAGTCGTCTGGACTTTGGGCTGAGAAGGAAACCTGTCCCATCCGACCCACACGCCCTGCATTTTTTATCTCTCTAGAGTTTTCCTTTCTAATTTATCACAATGAACCTCTCCCAAATTGGATAACCCTGAAGCAGCCGCAGGAATTTCACAGCCTGTAGGAACAGCATGAGCAAGACACGAAATTGCAGCAGTGCAATCAAAGATTGGCCCCCTCCAGCCTTCCAAACTGAGGTCACTGAGCCAGCACAGCCTGAGCAGGAATGACAGCTTGGAACCACAGGGCAGCATTTCCTTCCCCATCCAGCTGAATGAAGCACCAAGGGAAGAGAGCCAGGTGTGACCTGTCCCTGGTGCAGCTCTGACACAGCCACTGGAGTTATGCCAGAGAAAGACAAATTCAACCCACTAAACTGACCCCCCCCAAAAGAATTCTGCACTCCCACAGAAACTCCATCCCGTCCTTTGCTCCCAGCAAAGCTCCTCCAAGGTGAGGCCACGTTGCCTGCAGTCATTGTGAGCCACATGCAGCTCCCAGCCTGGAACAGTGCTGGGGTTGGGGTGACAGATGTGTCACACAGACGTGGATATGCCCTGAGCAAGGCTGGCAGAGCTCCCTGCCCTTCCTGTGAGTGCCTGGGACACAGCCAGGCTGGTGGAGCTCCTGGAAATGCTTGGATTTGCCCGAGCAGAGAGGTCACAGGGTAAGGGCTTCGCTGGTTGAGCATGAGGAAATGTGTGCTGGGCAAAGCCAGGGCAGCTCAGACACGTCTGCTTGTGTGTCAGGGTTTCAGGGTGACATCACCCTGTGCTGGTGGTATCTACGGCACAGATCTCTGATTCACACCGTTGTTTGGGCCTGGTTTTTCCCTCTGTGCCACCTGCTGCTGCTTGGCCTATATTTTAAGTAGAAAGACGAACATTTCTATGCTCCAGCAGCCTCAGGGGTGCCGAGCATGGAGATAAGAATCCAGCTGTCTTTCTGACTAAAATTTCTCACAGAGATTTCATGAGTAATTTCCAATCACTACCAAACCTCATCTTGTCTACTGATACATAGCAGACTCCACAAATCCTGTGGGCTTTGTGCTGTTCTCCCCTGCAATTTCCATCTGCTGTTGGAGCAGGGAATTTGGAGATGACATTCCTTTTTGGGATGGTTAGGAAAGCCACGGAAAAGTGCAGATGGAGGGTTCTAAGCCAGTGTAATGTGGGAAGCCTCATTCCAGCAGGCCAAAATAACAGAACCAGCTCCCTGAGCAAAGCAGAGTCAGAGTTGGGTGTGACACCTTTGCAAGTCAGCTTTGCACCCAGGAGCATGTGTGGGGCTGATTTTGGGGAGTTTTCCCCACAGGAAAGCATCCGGGGTGGCTTTGGTACAGAGGGAACAAAAGGTAAATTAGCAGCACCAGTGTGTTTTCCCAACAAAATTCACCCTCCCCTTTTTGGTTTTCCACAACATCCTGTGAAAGTGCCCAAGGCTCTGAGAGCACCAGGCGGTGTGACCGAGCTGCTTCTTGTATTTGCACAAAGCTCCTGGGTAGGAGAGCCAACCCTGCTGGGGGAATCCCAGCTCTGTGGAGGAGAGGGACAGCCCTGTCCCATCCCATCCCATCCCATCCCATCCCATCCCATCCCATCCCATCCCATCCCATTATCCCATCCCATTATCCCATCCCATTATCCCATCCCATCCCTCCCATCCCTCCCATCCCATCCCATCCCATCCCATCCCATCCCATCCCATCCCTCCCATCCCATCCCATCCCATCCCATCCCATCCCCACAGGCTGCAGCACAGCCCTGCCCAGGCACTTGGCCTTTAAATTATTCCCACAGGGGCCAACTGAAAATAATAAAAGAATTCTATCTTCTCCTGATGGAAGTTATTTTAATCTGTATAGAACTTGTCATTTGGGGCTAATTCCTTTCTTATTTTATTTCTTCCTTAAAAGTATTTGGTTTTTTGTCATTCTTGTGAAGAAATCATGTTAATATGAGTGTGTAGTGAAGGACCAAAATGGTGCTGGTGAGGTTGGGTGTGGGATGAGCAGGGAGCAGGAAGATTTTGTCCATGTGCCAAACGAGCCCATCAGTGCTGCCAGTGGTGCTGCTCATGCCCAGACAATCATCCCTCAGCTCCCCTTTGCCTTGGAGCTCCTGGGCCATCACAGGAAGGTTCCAGTGACTGGGAGGAGGAGGAGGAGGAGGCCAGTGGAGATGCTGGTGCTGCTCCAGGAGAACATGGGAACAGCCTTAAACATGGGGATGGATCCATCCTGTCCCATTCCAGCTGCAGCTCCAGGACTCCTGGTTTGTTTGGAACAAACCACGTGTCTGAGCATCTCTCTGCCATGCTGGAACAGGATCTGTGGGCAGCAGTGAGTGTTTGTGTGCTCTGACCATGGTTTGTTCACCCTTGAAGAAACCTCAGGGCAGGTCAGCATCACACTCCACAGAGCAGCTGAGGGAGTGGCACTGAGCTGGACACCAAAATGTGGGCCAATACCAAGGAATGCAAGTGTTACTGTGGGGATTTATTTGGGGTGTTTCTGGTTTCCCCGTCCCTCTCTCAGCCCTGCTGCAGGTTGTGTCATTTCTCCAGAAGCAGTTGGTCAGGTCCTTGCTCTGGCTGAGCTCACACTGTCACTGTCCCCCTCCCCAGGCTCATCCTGGCTTTCCATGGATCTCCTGAGGGCCCCTGGCCAAGGAGGTGTTATCCAGCCAGGTATTATCCAGCCAGGGATTGAGGACATTAAAAATATAGGATTTAAATAATGATTTTTTTTTTCTCTTTTCATATTTCCTAATTCAGTTTCTCCCCATTTTCTCTAGCTTGTGTTGTAGAATCTCCCAACTCCTCTAATTTAGCACTGATTACAAGTTTCAATTTTTCCCATTAAGATAAAGAAACAGGAAGCCTCACTGAACTTCTGTTAACCTCTACCTTTCGTTGGATTGCACTTGGGACGTGCTGCAGCTCACATTCCAAGTGCAATCCAACAAAAGGTAGAGGTGTGGAGGTGCAGGTGTGGAGGTTCCTTTTTGCTGCAGGTGTGGAGGTTCCATTTTGCTGCTTTAGCAGAGAATCTCACCTTTTCAAGGCTGCTTCCTGAGAGGTTTGTGCCCAGGATGTTCTGCTGGCTTCCCAGTGCTGGGGAAGCTCTGGGAGCTTTGGTGAGACATGGAGCTGTGGTGTCCAAGCCCATGGACACGCTGGGATCCAGGGCAGGTGAGGGTGGCAGGGATGGGAAGTGGCTGTGGTGTGTCCAGTAGCCAGGGTGTGGTTTAAACCCAGAGCTTTGTGTAGGATCTATTTATTTAAAGTATTTTCACAGCTGCAACAGCACAGAGGGGAGAAGGAGAAGCCCTGTGGGTTTTTGGAGTGGTCAGGTGTGGCTGGGAGCTGTGCAGGGCTGAAGTTTTGGTTCTCCATGAAGGGCAGAGCTTTGGCCAGAGCTGGACCTTCCTGCCTGAGCTGGCCAGGGAGGAGGATGTGGGTCTTGTGTCTGTGCATTCCTTGCTTCCCACCAGCTCAGAGCTGGCGGTTGTGATCTCTGCGGTTGGGAGCTCTCTGGTGGGATGAGCTGAGGTTCTCCCATGGGATGTGCTGAGGTGCCACGTCCTGCAGGACACATTGAGGCACCCAGTTCTCCTGCTGGGCTGCTGGCTTCTTCCCTGGGATGTTCCCTTTGGTGCTCAGGCTGCTCTGGGTGCCTTTCCAAGGTGTCCCAGGCCAGCAGGCCATGCTGAGCACCACGGGGACATCACTGTAGAGAACCCCAAACCCAAACGGGGCTGAACAAACACAGAGGGTGTGCTCAGCTGATTCTGGCACAAACACCCTACTGGGCTCCTGTCCTCCCTCACACAGACAGAGGAAGCTTTTCCCCCTCCCCAATCAGCACTTAGGCCCTCAGTGGCTGCTCTTGGGAGCCCTTTGGAAGCACTTGCACAATGAGGTGAACGAGTTTGGTGCTGAGCATCAAAGCACTGGATCGTGAGCCCCCCATGCCCCCCGGCCAGGCCAATCTGCTGAATTCTCACTCGGTTTTTACGTGCTGTACTCTGTGTGTGTGTGTGTGTGTGTGTGTGTGGCGGGGGGCTGGGGGGTCAGGGATCCCCCCTGCCCCTTTTTTGGGGGGGATCCTGGCCCTTGGGGACAGCGCTGTCCCCAAGGGCAGGAGTGACATAGCTTGGGTCAGTGCTGGCAGCACAAGGGCACAAAATGCTCTGCTCCTCGCTGGTGGTCAGTAGTGTTCTCACAAAGCCATGAAACTTCTCCGTAGTGTTGAGTGAAACTGTGACTAAAAATACGTTCTTGAATGATTCCGAGGTTTCTTTTTTTTCCTCTTTCTTCTGTCGTTAATTCTTATTACCACTTTGGAAGAAGAAATTTAAAAATAAAATTTAAAAAAAAAATTAAAAAAAAATTTAAAACTTAAAAAAAAAAGAACGAAAAAGAAAAAAAAGGCAGCTTTGATTTTCCAAATGTGCAATTCACATGTGAACAAAGTAATTCTGAAAGTAATTCTCAGTGTATTTTACATTCTCATTGCTCTCTTCAAAGCAAGAGATGTTTTGCCCTGATGTCATTTCCAGCCTGCAGAAGATGTAATTTAAGACATATATATATTGTGCTTGCAAGAATCATAAATCTGTGCATCCTATGTCATTCCTTTTCCCATTGTTACAATACAGATATGATTTAGGTTGGATTTTTTTTTTTCCTTTAGACCTGTATAGTGTTTTTTTAAAATCAATTGTAAATGTCTGGTTTTCATATAATGTTTAAAAAACATTGAGAAAGAGGATGGTGCTTGTTCCATATCATTCTTGATTGTATATTGCTTCTGTTATGTTTATAAGTAAACTGTGCATGACTTGTGTTTAGCAGTCATTATTGTGTCTGTTTGTGAAATTTTTATTAAAAAGAAAAAATTCCGTAGATGCACTTATTGTATATGTGATTAGATTTTGCGTCCAAGGCTCGAAGCCTTGAACTGCCAAGGAAGAAAGAAAAAGTGTTGGCAGTTATTAATTAATATGGAATCGCTTTGTTGGGAGCATAATGAAATAAAAGATATGAAGTGTAGAAAATAATTAAAAAAAAAGGCAATTTTACAAATTTCATTTTGATGCTTGTGATAAAAGACAAATGTACTTGTGTAGAGAAATTCCTTTAAAATAATGAATAGAAAAAGCTGATTTTGAGGTTAATGCTGTAGAATAGGAATGTATACCAAATGTAATCTTTCCAATGCTACAATGAATTTATACATGAGATTGATATGCAATAAACCTGTGTGCTTTTATAAGCAGTGGTCCCGTGAGCTTCTTTTCATGGAATAACCATGGAGAATGTCCTCAGTAATGGGACATTGGGTGTGTCACTGTCTGTGGTACCTCTAGGGTCTGATGTTGTGTGTGTGCAGTTTTAATACTCAAAAGAGCTTCAAAAATTAAATTATGGCCGCCCCACTTGCTGCTGAGGTCAGAATCATGGAATCACAGAATTATTAAGGTTGGAAAAGCTCTCAAAGACCATCCAGTCCAGCCTGTGCCAAATCCCCACCTTGTCACCCAGAAAGGGGCACTGAGTGCCACATCCAGGGATGGGGACTCCAAACCTCCCTGGGCAGCCTCTGCCTAGGCCAGGCCACCTTTTCCATTAAAAAATTCTTCCTGATATCCAGTCTGAACCTCCCCTGGCATAACTTTCTTGTTGTCCTCCTGTCAGGGAGTTGTGCAGAACCAGAGGTCCCCCCTGAACCTCATTTTCTCCAGGCTGAGCCCTTCCAGCTCCTTCAGCCTCTCCTCACAGGACTTGCCCAGCTCTGTGCCCTTCTCTGGAAACGTTTCAGCCCCTCAATGTCTCTCTTGTGAGGTGCCCAGAGCTCACAGAGCACTCGAGTTCTCCCCAGTGCGAAGCAGCAGCATCACATCCCAGTGAAGGGACGGGATCTTGCACAGAGAGGAGTGAGATATTCCAGGGTGGGTGAAAGTGTTGGGATGGGGCATCGGTGAGCTGATGGAAAATGTCAAACATATTTCCTTTCACAACCAGAGCGCAGGGAGAGTGAACTGCCCAGTGATAGCGGTCAGATGGTTCAGCTCCAGGGGACCCTGGGAGCAGAAATTACTTGAAAGCCGGGTCTTTGAGCTTAAAAACCCCATTACACAACTGATGAATGGCCTCGCTTCAAAAAGTCATTCATGGTGATCAAATGATGGTGTCCCACATTCGGGATAATGGCCCTTCCCCGGAGATCGGGAGGGTTTCAGTCCGAGCTGAACCCTTGAGTAGGAGCCCTCCTCTTGCTGGAGCCTTTCTCCTTATTAGCCCCGGAGGGAAAGGATAAAAAATCCATGGGATAAGAAAGCTGTGATAATGGGGCGATTGTCAGGCAGGCCCCGGAGTGGAGAGAACAGAAGCATTTCAAAGAATATTGCTGACAAGTGGACTTTGTCATGCACAAAGTGCTTGAGATTCACCACAAACAAGTGAGGAAAAGGCCTCATTTGGGGGATGGGGAGGAGCAGAACAGGGGGGCAGAAGAGAAGGTCAAGGAAAAGTCTGTTCCCAGTAAAGACACAGAGCACTGTTGAGCCTTACTGGGCAGCTGTCAGCAGCCTGACCCTCAGATCCTCTTTCCCAGTAGCTGCAGCGTCCAAAAACAGCAGAAATTGATGTTTTGTGCATCCGGAGGGATCGCCCGAGGTTACCTTTGACCGCTGAAGACCCAACTAAAGCGAGCATCAGACATGCCTGTAGTAAGGGAATGCTGAAATACCGTGTGTGTGTCGCCCAGACCCCGAGGACAGCCGGGGCACACTCGTTTGTCACCTGCTAACGTGACAGAAGAATGACACCGAATAATCCTCCCGCCTTCGGCGACCTTGCAGAGGCGGCTTTAGGGGATGGGGAATGCTGAGATTCCAGGAGCGCACACACCTGACGAGCACACATCAAGAAGCTCCTAGAGACGCTTAATTAATTTTTCACCCCCGGGAAGCAGAGGTGGCTTTAGGGGATGAAGAATGCCGAGATCCTAGGGGCGCACACACCTGAATTCTCATCAAGAAGCAGCAAAACACTGCTCCTAGAGACAATTATTATTTCACCCCCAGGAAGCAGAGGTGGCTTTAGGGAATGGGCAATGCCGAGATTCCAGGGGCGCACACACCTGATGAACGCTCATCAAAAAGCAGCAAAACACTGCTCCCAATTAATTAAGACGCTAACTAATATTTCACCCCCAGGAAGACGGGGCGACCCCGGGCCGGGAGCAGAGCGCTGCTCGGAGCCGGGACGTGCGAAACCCCGGCACATCCCGGGTCATGCCAGCACACCGGCACGGTCCTGGGGGCCGGACCGGCACCTCCCCCGGTACCGGAACACCGGCACACCCCGGGGCACACCGGCACGGTCTCGGGGGCCGGACCAGCACCTCCCCCGGTCCCGCCCCGGTCCCTCCCATCCCTCCTGGTCCCTCCCATCCCTTTCGCCGCCGCCGCCGCCGCCGCCGCCGCGCTGGCTCCGAGGGGCGCGGGTAGGTGCGGGCGCGGCGGGGTCGGGGCTGGGGCGCTGCGGAGGGACCGGGGAGCCCGGGAAGGGTCCGGCACCGCCATCGGCACCGGTACCGGGGCTCCAGGGCAGCCGTGCGGGCGGCGGTTCCGAGAGAGCGGCTGCCGAGCGCCTTCCGGGGAGGGGACGGCGGGACCGGCTGTGCTGTCCCTGCCGGGCTCGTCCTGCCGCGGCTCCGTCCCCGCTGTCCCCGCGGGTCCCAGCGGTTCCAAGGGGTGGTTGGGTCCGTGGCAGAGGGGTTTGGGTGCTTCCCAGGGCTGTATCGCTGCTCATTTAGAGCCCAGCTCCCTGCACCGAGTTACGGTGCCCTTGTGCCACCGCTGTCGATGCCCTGTGTGGCCCCCGAGCTTCCCTCCATCCCAGCACCGAGAGCTGTGCATGCTGCCGCCCCCAAACCCTCTGGGTTCAAGCTTGTTTATTGCCACCAGGGCTTGGGATGAGCGTTGTCCTCAGGCAGGATGGGGTTAAGAGCGGAATGTGATCCGAGGGACACTTGGCAGAGCTCTGGACATAAAGCATGTGTCCCCCATCCGAGGACAGTGGAATGAGCAGCATCTCTATCAAACGAGCTGTTGTTGATGGGTCTGTGCTGTCCTCCTGCCAGTCATTCATGCAGGGAAAAGCACGGTCCAGCCTTGGTTTGTTTCCTGGTCTTTGAAAGAGAACAGCTTGGAGATGGCACTGGCACACAATGGGACCTCAGTTGAGGACAATTAAACATAATTTCTCCCGAAGTTATGTAATAGGCAGAGGGCATAAAGAACTCTGTCTGCTCTGTAGGTGCATGGTTCTGTGCGTTGCACAGGAGGGGATGAGTGACCTTAACCCCACCTGGGAAGCCCCAGGGACTGGGGCAGGTGTTTCTGTGAGCAGAGTGGTTTGGGGCAGGTACGAGCTTGGAGGAGCACAGGGTTCACAGCCAGGGAATCCACAGCCTGAGGGAGGTGGCATTCAGGAGGGTGCAGACCGGCTGTGGTGGCTGGCAGCACCCCAAGGGGGAATGAGGGGCCACGGAGGTGTGGCAGCAGCAGGGCTCGGGGAGGCTCCATGCCTGTCTGATTCAGGTCTGAGCCTGCCCGGTGCCTGAGGCAGGGTCTGGCTGCTCCATGGCCTGGCTGGGATTAACCACTGCTCCCATGGCCTGGCTGGGATTAACCACTGCTCCATGGCCTGGCTGCTCCATGGCCTGCCTGCTTCTGGTCCTGGCTACTCCCATGGCCTGGCTGCTCCATGGCCTGGCTGGGTTTAACCCTGCTCCATGGCCTGGCTGCTCCATGGCCTGGCTGGGATTAACCACTGCTCCATGGCCTGGCTGCTCCATGGCCTGCCTGCTTCTGGTCCTGGCTACTCCCATGGCCTGGCTGCTCCATGGCCTGGCTGGGTTTAACCCTGCTCCATGGCCTGTTTGCTCCTTGTCATGGCTGCTCCCATGGCTTGGCTGCTCCCATGGCCTGGCTGCTCTATGGCCTGGCTGGGTTTAACCATTGCTCCATGGCCTGGCTTCTCCCAGTCCCGGCTGGGTTTAACCACTGCTCCCAGGGCCTGGCTGCTCCCATGGCCTGCCTGCTCCTGGTTCCTGACCACGTTCTGGAGCCCCTGTCTCAGCCCTGGCACACAGGTGGCCCCACAAGGAGCGATGTGGTGACAGCATCCCCAGTGTGTCCATACAGGCCTGGCCTCAGTCCTGCACTGCCCTAAGGTTCCTATGGCTCAGCATAAATTCCTGCTGCCTTACTGGGAGTTGTTCAGCCACCTGTCTGTCTGTCTGTCCTCCTCAGCTTGCTGCTCCCTCAGCCACCACCATGTCTCGGGGCTCCTCTGCTACCTCTGTGGATGACAAGACCTTGCTCCTGGAGTACCGATGCCACCCAGTGCGGCCAGAACCGCCCAGCCCGACATGTTCCTCTGGGAAGCTCAGCCCCACCACGGCTCCCAGTGCCACCTCAGTGTCCCCCCTGGGCTCCCCCACCTCGGCCGAGCCCCGCCGCATCGTCCTGAGCACGCACAGCCCTGCTGCGCTCAAGGTGGGCACGCAGCAGCTCATCCCCAAGAGCTTGGCCGTGTCCTCCAAGCCCAAGAACAGCCCCTCCAGGCCCCAGAGCCTCGGGGCCAGCCGGGAGCCCCTGAGCCCCGACCCAAAGCGGGCGGCCGTCCCCGTGCTGGCCCTGCAGGCGGAGGATGAGGATGATGGCGGAGGGGCCCTCAAGCGCAACCTGAGGAACATGTCCTACCGCGCGGCCATGAAGGGGCTGGGGGCTGACATGGAGCCAGCCAAGGCCCCACCATCACTGAAACCCGTGTCTGAGGATGGCAGCACCCTGCCTGACCGCAGCCCTGGCAGGAGCAAGGTGGGTTTAACCCCTTCTGTCACCCCTGTCGGGCAGGGATGGGGTCCTGCTTTCCTGGTGGTGACAGAGGAGCTGCAGGGCCCACAGCTGCAGTCAGTTCTGAGCCTGGCGTGGTGACTGGTGCCTTGGGAAGCTGGAGCAAGATGGGTTTAACCCCTTCTGTCACCAGCTCCCAGAGGTAGGGGCAGCAGTCTGGGGGGCCTGAGAGCTCTGGGGGGATAATTCCTCATCATTAGTGGGCTTGTAGTGGGCTGGCTGGGACACGCAGGGTCTGCCCAGGGCTGTTGGTGCAGGTGGTGCTGCTGTAATTGGGCTTCACCCACAGCTGAGGGAAGGCAGGTGCTCCTTGCTGGGCTTTCCCTGTGGACTTTGGGGAGAGTAATCTTCATCCAGGGAGTGCAATCTTCACTTCACGGAGTGGCAGCAGCTGCAGGGGATGATGCAGGAGTGAGTAGGGATGGGGTCCTGCTTTCCTGGTGGTGACAGAGGAGCTGCAGAGCCCTCAGCTCCAGTCAGTTCTGAGCCTGGTGTGGTGCCTGGTGCCTTGGGAAGCTCCGTGTCACCAGCAGATGCTGCAGGTCCCTGGAGAGGCCGGGAATAGCTGACATGGTTTTGGTGGGGAGTGGAGCTGGATGTTTGCAGGGTGGGGCTGGCCGGGAGAGCGGCTCCAGTTGTACACAAACATGGGTGAAGCACGTCTGGGGAAAGGGAGACTCCAGAGCAGGCAAAGTCCAGGTGTGAGAGAGATTTGACAGCAGCAGTGCAAGTACAGAATGGTTCTGAGCGTGACCCTGGTTATATGGGCGGTGGAAGCTGAGTCACTTGGGTAAGGCAAACAGAGCCCACACAAAGCCAGGCTGAAACAACAGGGTGGTGTGGGCCAGCTGGCGCAGGTAACTCCCCCTTTTCCTGAAGGAGTTTTCCCAGTGCCTCAGAAGTGTGGTAACCACAGCAGGCTCTCCTCTTGCCCTTGCAGAAAACCCTCGGGCGGAAGCGGGTGCAGAAGCGTGGTGGCTCCTTCAAAGACCGTGAGTGCTCCTGTCCCCTGTTCCTCAACCAAGCAAATCCCTGCAAGGCTTTCCCCACTTTCCCCATGGGCAGTGCTGCTCCCTGCCCATGGCTCTTGTCTCTGTTTCCCTGAAGCAACAGCAGCATTGCTGCCCTGCTTTGCCACTCCTGGGGCTGATAACACTGCCGTGGCTCCCAGGGAAAATGGGAGAGCTGTGGGAGGCTGCTGGGAGCAGCAGCTGCTGGGTAATCAGTGCAGTGCAAAGTCCAGCCTCATCAGGGAAGTTTCTGGCCCGGAACTCGTGGCTCGTGGCCAACAGGGCAAGGCAGCCGTGCTGGGAAGGGAAGCCATGAGCTGGGAGAGGCTCCAGTGCTGTCCTGACCCCGTGTCTTGTCCTCTGCAGAGCCCCAGCTGTACCAGGAGATCCGTGAGAGAGGCCTGAACTCTGTCAGCCATGAGTCAGACGAGGACTTGCTGGAGGAGGCCCTGCCGGAGGAGCCGTCCCCTCTGGGTGCTGCCATCGTGGTGCAGAGCTACCGCCCGGCCCAGGTCACCTGGAGCCAGCTCCCAGAGGTAGGGGCAGCAGCCTGGGGGCTCTCAGAGCTCTGGGGGGATAATTCCTCATCATTAGTGCTTGCACTGGGCTGGCTGGGACACGCAGGGTCTGCCCAGGGCTGTTGGTGCTGCTGTAATTGGGCTTCACCCACCGCTGAGGGAAGGCAGGTGCTCCTTGCTGGGCTTTCCCTGTGGACTTTGGGGAGAGTAATCTTCACTCCAGGGAGTGTGATCTCCACTCCAGGGAGTGTAATCTCCACTCCAGGGAGTGTAATCTCCACTCCAGGGAGTGTAATCTTCATCCAGGGAGTGGCAGCAGCTGGTGGGGGCTGGATGATGGAGGAGTGAGTGGTGATGGTGTGTGATGATATGTGATGGTTTCTGATGGTTTGTAATGGTTTGTGATGTGTTCCTTTGGTGTGTGGCGGTGTTTTGCAGTGTGTAATGGTTTCTGATGGGTTGTGATGGTTTCTGATGATTTGTGATGGTTTTGTAATGGTTTTTAATGGTTTGTGATGGGTTCCTTTGGAGTATGCTGGTGTGCTGCAGTGTGTGATGGTTTGGGATGGTTTATGATGGTGTGTGCTGGTGTGTGATAGTGCATAATGGTTTCTGATGGTTTGTGATGGTGTGTGCTGGTGTGTGATAGTGTGTAATGATTTGTGATGGTTTCTGATGGTTTGGGATGGGTTCTGATGGGGTGTGCTGGTGTGTCACAGAGTGTGATGGTTTCTCATGGTTTGGGATGGGTTCCTTTGCTGTGTGCTGGTGTGTCACAGTGTGTGATGGTTTGGGATGGTTTCTGATGGTGTATGATGGTTTGTGGTGGTGTGTCACAGTGTGTGATGGTGTCTCACCGTTTGGGATGTGTTCCCTTGCTGTGTGCTGGTGGGATGGGCCGTGGGGTGGCTGACACAGCCCCAGACTGCACTAGAGGGCGTGCAAGCACCGTGGTTCTGCTCATCCCCAGGTCCTGGAGTCGGGCATCCTGCAGAGGATCTCCCCCGAGGAGCGCAAGAGGCAGGAGGTGAGAGAGCCCTGGGCTGTGCCAGGGAGCACAGCAGGGCACAAAGGCTGTGGGACACATGTGGCTCTGGCAGGGTCAGCTCCAGGTGGAGCTGGGCTGGGCTCAGCTCATGGTGCAGCTGCTTCCAGCTGCTCCAGGGCTGGGCAGTGCTGGGAGGGCTCACCTGCACTAACAGGCAGCTCCATTGGTTGCTGATGGGAAGGGAAAACATCCTCATGCTGTGGCTTTTTAACGACTGAGTGTCCTAAAACACACTGGGATTGTTGGTATTGGCCAGGCCATGCATGAGGTGACACAGAGAACCAAGTAATTTCCAGTGGCTCTGTGCCAGAGAGTAGAAATAAGATTTAACAATTAATTCCTGGCTTTTTCCGCTGTTGCATCTTCCCTGCTTTCTCCAGGCAATGTTTGAGATCATCACTTCTGAGTACTCCTACATGCACAGCCTGAACATCCTGGTGAGCCACTTCATGAGGTCAGAGGAGCTGAAGGAGACCATGACTCAGACAGAGCACCACCACCTCTTCTCCAACATTGGGGACATCCTGACAGTCAGCAAGAGGCAAGTGGAGCCTGGGAGGGGACCCTGAGCTTTTCATTGGTAGTGCTAAACCAACCATCCCTTGGATTGTTGAAGGGACTCACTGGGAGGTGGGGAGGAAGTACCTTGGGAGCTGTGTCCGTGTGGGAAGGCAGCAGGAGGAGGATGCAGCAGCCCTGGGAATGGCTGTGGGGGTGTTGAGGGCTTGTGGCTTCCTGATGGGGCAGAAAGTAAAACCTCATGGAGGGCTGAGGTGGAGGAGGGATCCCATGCAGGAATGGAGGAAGCGTGTGCCTCTGGGGAAGGCGTGGATGTCTCAGCTGCTGGAGCTGCCCTGCCAGAAAGGATCCAGGCCCCAGCTCCTCTGGGAAAACTGGGGAAAAGCAGCAGTGGGAACATTCAGTTTGTCCAGTGAGTCATGTGAGCCTGTTCAAATTCTCTCCTCAGCTTCTTTGAGGACCTGGAGAAGCGGCACCAGGAGCACCTCCTGATCCCCGACATCAGCGACATCGTGGAGGAACACGCCTCGAAACACTTCAACCCCTACATCAGCTACTGCTCCAATGAGGTCTATCAGCAGAGGACGCTGGATAAGCTGCTGTGAGTTCAGGGCTTGGGCTGGCCAAGGAGCTGCCTCAAAGGGCTCTGGGCTCCAGGGACTGCAGAGATCCATAGCACACAGGGACTTGTTCATCTCCAGGCCAAGTCTGAGTCTGTTATTGGTACATCTGTGGCTTTTCCCACCTTTTGGTGGGCTCACCATCTCTCTCTGGGTGCTTTTGCACCACCTGCTGTGAGATCAGTCCTGTTTCTGCCCAGCTGGGCACTCCAAGCCTGGCAGAGCACCCCAGGCAGTGCCATCACTGCTCTGCATTTCCAGTGTGTGGAGAGCTGCTGGAAAATCCTGACAACTGAAGAACAGAGTTAATGGAGCTTTCTTATCCTGTTCCAGAACCACAAACCCCTTATTTAAAGAGACCCTGAAACAAATTGAAAGGAAGCCAGAGTGTGGAGGCCTGCCAATGATCTCATTTCTCATTCTGCCCATGCAGAGGGTAACACGGCTTCCTTTGCTCTTAGATGTAAGTAGTCACACAGTGGCACTGCTTGGCACCTCTGAAGAGGTGACTCTGCTATTCCCTTTGTTTGCTGAGCCTGGGACAGCCTCTGCTTGGACTTCCAGCCCTCTGGAGCTGGGCCCTGGGTGCTCCTGTATTCAGGAGAAGCATTTGGATAACTCTCAGGCACATGGTGGGATTCTTGGGGTGTCCTGTGCAGGGCCAGGAGTTGATCTTAATGGGTCCCTCCCAGCTCAGCATATTCTGTGATTTATATCCAGAGCAATCTGCTTCTCTGGAGGGTGTCAGGTGTGCAGCTTAAAGCTCTGTGAAAGACACTTAATGTCTTGGTGCCACCCATCTGAGCCACCTGAGCTTCTTCTGTGCCATACCTGGGTCCCAGGGTGGAGTGGCACAAGTGTCCTGGTCAGGCAGCCCAGGAATGGAAAGCAAGTCTTGCATTCTTCATGGAAATCTGCTCTAAATGGCCAAGCTGCTGGATGTGGGGTTTCCAGTGACTGCTCCCAGTCTGTGGGGGTTGCAGGGCTGAGGGCCAGGGGGTGGCCAGGCACATACCAGACATGAAACCCCCAGATTCCCATCTCCCAGCACTGTTAAACCTTCCTGTGACCACTGGGGACAGCTCAATCAATGTGTGACATCCTGAAATCCTGGGGGAGCAGCTGATGCTCTCTTCTCTGGGGTGCAGTGTCACTAAAGCTTCTTATCTTGGAATTCCAGACCGTGCAGCAAAAAACAAACGCGCGCACCGCAGCGTACGGAGCTGCCACCCGCGCTGTGAAGGCCATCAGCAAGGTGAGGCCCAGCTGCCAGCCCTCCACCTCTCCTCCTGCCAGCTCAGCCCTCTGCAGCACTGATCCAAAGCTGCCATTCTGGCCTCATTTCCCTCCCAGCATCAGTTCACTCGAGGCTCCCCTGCTCCAAACAGCTGCTGGATGAACGCACCTTTTCCCTTCTCAACTTTGTCACCTGATCTTGGTTTGTTCCTTTTTCTTGTTCTCTGTTCTTTCCTCTTTGGCCCATCTTTGTCCTTCCTGAAGCAGCTCTCACCGTGGTTTTTGGGGATTTCGGCAATGAATGAAGCAGAGAGGGAAGTGTGGAGGGCAGTAGTCATAAGCTGTGCCCTGTCTGTGCTCCTGGATCTTATCTCCCTGTTTTTTCCACCATGCCAGTGGTGACTCTTCCTTTCATCCCCCTGAGGAGCAGCTCTTGGCAGCACATTCCTGCTGCTCCCAGTCTGTCCTGCTCTCACATCCGAGCAGAATCCTCCCCTCTGTGTGATTGTTCATCCTCCTGCCTTAAGCTCTTCTCAGATGATGAATTCTTCCTCCTCCTGTTGCTCCTCAGTTCCGGTGCAGGTTCACTTGAGTCCTTCTCCAGGCAGAGCCCATGTGCCCTCTCTGCAGGACAGCATCCCACTACCTTTTCCCAACCTGGCATGAAACCTGTGCCAGGGATTGTCTGTCTGTTTCTCCTGCTCAGGGCAGCAGGACAGTCCCTAATGCTGGGGTCGGTGAGGGAGATGGATGGACTCAGTGTCTGATCCTTTTCCACTTCCCTTGGGATGTTTTTCTCTTCCCAGCTGGTCAAGAGCTGCAATGAGGGAGCTCGGGCTATGGAGAGGACAGAGCAGATGTACACCTTGCAGAAACAGCTGGAATTTGGGAAGAAGAAGGTGAGGCCTTGTGGAAGTGGTGGTGGGAAGTCTTCTGGGGCTGTTTAGACAGGTCAGACCTATGATGGGAATCCTTCTGGGAAGTCTGGAGTGGTCTTCCACCAGGCAGCACTGACAGAACCAGAGGACACAGTCTCAAGCAACATCAGGAAGGTATAGGTTGGATATTAGGAAAAAATTTTTCACCAAAAGAACAATAAAGTACTGGAATGCTCTTCCCAGGGAGGTGGTAGTATCACCATCGCTGGATGTGTTTAAAAAAAGACTGGACATGGCACTTGGTGCTAGAGTCTAGGTGTTGGACTTGATGATCTTAGAGGTCTCTTCCAACTTCATCATTCTGGGATTCTGTGACTGTTGGATGCAGGCAGTTTCTAAAAAGTGTAGTAAAGCCATGACAGTGTTGGGGTCCAGAGGCTGCATCTCTGGTGTGCTGGAATGGGGTGCACAGCCCCCTGGAAAATCCTGTCTAAAAGACCCTTAAATGTTGTGACAGTGTTCACAGGGGTCTTAGGTTGAGGGAAGAGACGAGGATCTGACTCCATGTTCCAGAAGCCTTGATTTATTATTTTATGATATATATTATATTAAAACTATACTGAAAGAATAGAAGAAAGGATTTCATCAGAAGGTTAGCTAAGAATAGAAAAAGAAGGAATGATAACAGAGAGTCTGAGCCAGCTGACTGTGATTGGCCATTAATTAGAAACAACCACATGAGACTAATCACAGATCCACCTGTTGCATTCCACAGCAGCAGATAATTATTGTTTACATTTTGTTCTTGAGGCATCTCAGCTTCTCAGAAGAAAAAAACCTTAAGGAAAAGATTTTTCGTAAAACATGTCTGTGACAAAACGCATGCAGTGTGTCCATCCCAACTGACCCCAGGGCTACTGCAGGCTCACTCCCTGCCTTGATTTTGCCTGCTGCTCGTGAGCAGGGCAGTGCCTGAGTCTTTTCTGGTGCTGTTCCAGCCTTTCCCACTGATCTCGGTGTCCCGGTGGCTGCTGAAGCGAGGGGAGCTGCACCTGCTGCTCTCGGAGGAGGCTGGAATCTTCCGCCGCGGCGCCGGCCGCCTCTGCCACCTCTTCCTCTTCAACGACGTCCTCATCATCACCAAGAAGAAGAGGTGAGGGCCCGGCCTTTCCCTGAAGAACAGCTAGGGGGATTAAACTCCAATTTCCCCAGCAGAATATTGGAATAATTACCAGTATAGCCGGAGTGGATGTGCCTGAGCTTGTCTGGCCCTTGGTAGCGGCACTGTGGTGTTTCACCCCACAGACACTTTTGGCTGGCTGGGTGCTGCAGTTGGCACATGGAAACAAGTCCAGGCTTGCAGGAGCTCTGGTGGTGCTGGGATGGAGCTTCCCCCCATAACAGGGGCTGCTCCTCAGGTTTCCCTCTGCCAGAGAAGCTTTAAGGCAATGGTGAAGGAAAGGAGTCGGTTCTGATGGAGGGTTTGGATGCAGAGCTTTATTCTGGCCCACAGGCCTCTGAATGCAGCACCAGCTCCAGCAGAACTCCCTGAGCCCGTGGTTGCTGCTCCTTTAACCCCGGGGAGAGGGGCAGGGAAGGGGTAGGGAGCCACCAAGCAGGGACAGGAGGGGAGGGACAAAGGGACAAAGGACACCTGGATGGCCCAGTGCCCCCCAGGGGTAGAGGGCATCCTTTGGATCTGCCAATCACTCCGGAATTCCATGATTGACAGACAGGGCTGGGAGGGGAAAGGAGAGGTGACTGACACACCTGGCAGGGAATTATCAGGGGAGGGACCCGAGGTTCTGAGGTAAACCCTGAAATCACAACGCAACAGCAGAGAAATCTGTGAGATTTCCCTGTTTCCACCTTGTCAGCTAGAAGTGTCCCACCAGCGGCTTTGCCTCAGTGGGTGGGTGGCTAGCAAATCCCCAGAGCCATTTCCCACCCTGAGCATCAGCTCCAGGCTGCTCTGGCAATGCTGCTGAGCCTCCTGTGCCCTGCTGGGAGCTGGGAAATGGCCCAGACCCCACAGCTGGGTCACTGCTCCTGTTTGTGCCACAGTGAGGAGAGCTACACGGTCATGAACTACGCCACGCTGGACCAGGTCACCGTGGAGAAGGTGGAGAGCTCAGAGCCACCCTCCCCTCCTCCTGGCAAGGCTGGTGGGCACCTGCTCCGAGTGGTGCTGGAGAAGGACAGCGAGGGACGGCGGGAGGAGGTGGTGCTGTCAGCAGAGACCCTGTGAGTGCCATGCTGGGATTGTGCTCTGGCTTTTGGGATGAACTGGGAATCCCACACTGGGATTGTGCTCTGGCCCTTGGGATGAGCTGGGAATCCTCTGAGGCTTCTGTGACAGTGTTCACAGGGGTCCGAGGATGAGGGAAGAGACGAGGAGCTGACTCCGTGTTTCAGAAGGCTTGATTTATTATTTTATCATATGTATTATATTAAAACTATACTAAAAGAACAGAAGATAGGATTTCATCAGAAGGCTAGCTAAGAATAGAAAAAGAAGGAATGATAACAAAGGCTGACTGTGATTGGCCATTAATTGGAAACAACCACATGAGACCAATCACAGATGCACCTGTTGCATTCCACAGCAGCAGATAATTATTGTTTACATTTTGTTCCTGAAGCATCTCAGCTTCTCAGGAGGAAAAATCCTAAGGAAAGGATTTTTCAGAAAATATGGCTACAGGCTTCTGCAGATCTCCCTTTACCCCCACGCTCCTCCTCCTAGAAATTGAGATGTGCACAGCCTTCTCCCAGGCTCTGTTCCTTCCTCTCTCCTATATTTCCCATATAATTCCCATATCAGCTTCCCCTGTCCAAGTGAAGCAAAGCAGCCAGGCCGTGTGTGCCACTTGGGAAGTGTCCTGACATTGAATAATCTGATCAGTGTGACTCCCCTGGAAAGCATTTATCCTGCTGGGGATGTCCCAGCTGCTGCTGGCCACATGATGCTGTGCTTAAGGAGCTAAAATCCACAGGGATGCTGTCCTAAGGCTCTCTTTGTGTTTCCCTGTGGCAGGAGTGACCGGGCCAGGTGGATTGCAGCTCTGATGCACAGGGAGAAGGAGCAGCCTGACCAAATACCCAAAGGAGGTACCGTGTGCCCAAGGGCAGCCTGGCTGTGCTGGGATTCCCTGGCACACCAGAGCATTTGCAGGCCCAGGTTTCTGCCTGGTTCTCCTTCATTCCTGGAGTGGAGAGGAAACCCCCACACTGTGACAGTGTTCACAGGGGTCCGAGGATGAGGGAAGAGACGAGGATCTGACTCCATGTGTCAGAAGGCTGATTTATTATTTTATGATATATATTACATTAAAACTATACTAAAAGAATGGAAGAAAGGATTTCATCAGAAGGCTGGCTAAGAATAGAATAGGAAAGAATGATAACAAAGGCTTGTGTCTTGGACAGAGAGTCAGAGCCAGCTCACTGTGATTGGCCATTAATTAGAAACAACTACATGAGACCAATCACAGATCCACCTGTTGCATTCACAGCAGCAGATAACCATTGTTTACATTTTGTTTCTGAAGCCTCTCAGCTTCTCAAGAGAAAAAATCCTAATGAAAGGATTTTCCATAAAAGATGTCTTTCCATAAAAGATGTGACACCACGCCTTGCTCCTTAGGAGTTGCCTCCCATGAAGTTATCAGTCACAATTGACCTTAAATGCATTTCCTGGGAGGCACAGTGGAATTCCAGGAATGCCTTCAGCTGTTTTTAGAGGAGGTTTGACAAGCTTGGAGGGATAAGGGGCAGGGACAGGAGGGAATGGAGCATGCTGTGCTGTGGAGCACTGGGTGGGGGGTCATGGCCCCTGCTCACTGTCCCTGCTGTCCCCTGTCCTGCAGACCTGAGCCAAGTGGAGATCACCCGTGCCTACCTGGCCAAGGAGGCGGATGAGCTGTCCCTGCAGCAGGCAGATGTTGTCCTGGTGCTGGGGGAAGAGGATGGTGAGTGCCAGGGGGCGTGGGGCTGGGTGTGGGGCAGGCTCTGACCTCAGCACAGCCGGGGCAGGGGGTCAGTGATCCCTGGGGACTGGGTTTTAGCAACTGCAGAAGCTTCCAGGAAGCTGTGGCACTGGCTGGTGCTGTGTCCCAGCAGGTGACAGTGGCTCCTGGGGGGCTGAGGGAGGTGCCACTGCCAAGGATCTGTAGCCCTTCCTGGCCCTGTCAGCTGCTCTGTTCTCCCCTAGGCTGGTGCTGAGGGGAGCGGGGCTGATTCCCCCAGGATCCACAGTCCTTCCTGGCCCTGTCAGAGCTCTGTTCTCTCCTAGGCTGGTGCTGGGGGGATCAGCTGTGGGATTAGGAGTGGGGTTGGTTCCCCCAGGACCTGCAGCTCTTCCTGGCCCTGTTACCCTCTCTGTTCTCTCCTAGGCTGGTGCTGGGGGGAGCGTTTGCGGGACGGGGAGCGGGGCTGGTTCCCCCAATCCTGTGCCAGGCCCATCACCAGCCGCGTGGCCGCCGAGGGCAACGTGCGGCGCATGGAGCGGCTGCGCATCGAGACCAACGTGTAGGGACAGCCCAGAGGGACCCTCCTCTGCCTCAGGGAGCCCCAGACCTCTGCAGACTGAGCCCACGGAGAGGAGGCACAGCAGAGCCTTTCTTCTTGAACTGTGCTGGTGTCAGATCTCATCAGCCAGGATGGGTTTGTGTGGCAGCTGTGACACAACAGCTCCGCTGTGAGAGCTGGCACCGGGCACTCCTGGCAGCGCTGGCACTGGTGACCTGGAACAGGCTCTGGGAGCAGCCAAGGGCTTGGCTCAGGTTGGGAAGCTGGAGCTGTTCTGGGCTCTGAGGTGCCCGTGCCACCATGGCAAACCTGGAGCTGTTCTGGGCTCTGAGGTGCCCGTGCCACCATGTCCAGGCTGGAGCTGTTCTGGGCTCTGAAGTCTCTGAGGTGCCCGTGCCACCATGTCCAAGCTGGAGCTGTTCTGGGCCCTGAAGTGCCTGTGCCACCATCTCCATCCCTGCAGCACCTGCTGCACACCTGCTGTGGGGAGAGCACACCCCAGTCAGGCTTTGTTTGGAGCTTAAGTCCACGTGCTTGGCTCATTGCTCAGCCCAGTTTTTGCTCCTGTTTCTCTTTTTTCTGTCTCTCCCCCCATGATAATTCTTCGGCCCTTTGGGCAGAGCTGTGCCCTGCACAGGTGAGGTGATGCCAGACACCTTTGGGTCACTTGATGAAATACTTGATGCCAGAGTTGTTCCCATGGAGTCAGCTCTGGGATGATGTGCTCCAGGCAGAGGATGAGGAGCAGTGCTGCAGCTCCCACCTGCCTTTCCCTCCTCCCAGCTGGGGAGGGGGCTCAGCCCCTCACACCCCGTGCAGGGGACATGGCTGCTACAATTTTGGGGTGCCAAACTTCACATTCACTGTTTGATCAAGCTGTTCAACTGTAAATTAACAATAAATTCTTGGATACCAATGGACCACGTGTTCTCTGTTAGTGGTGAGTGTCCCTGAGCATGAGAGCTCCAACCATGAGCCCTAAAATGAAGCTTCATTCTGCTGGTGGCATTGCATGTTCTGACACAATATCTACACCTCATGAAACACTCTTCTGTCACCTGGAGCAGCTGTCAGGTGCATTTGAGTGAGACAGACAAGATAAGTAGAAACTCAGCCAGGCTTTCTGTTTATTTCTTTTAACTGTGGAGAAAGTAACATTTTCATCAGTGCTAAATTAGAGAAGAACCAAAAAGGGAGACAGTACAAGAAAAGAGGAAGCAAACAAAATGGATTAAGAAAATATGAACAGGAAAAGAACATTATATAAAAATGCAGCTACAAGGTTTGCTCTGAGCAGCTGCCAGGAATCCTGGAGCTGCAGCTGGAATGGGACAGGATGGATCCATCCCCATGTTTAAGGCTGTTCCCATGTTCTCCTGGAGCAGCACCAGCATCTCCACCGGCCTCCTCCTCCTCCTCCTCCCAGTCACTGGAACCTTCCTGTGATGGCCCAGGAGCTCCAAGGCAAAGGGGAGCTGAGGGATGATTGTCTGGGCATGAGCAGCACCACTGGCAGCACTGATGGGCTCATTTGGCACATGGACAAAATCTTCCTGCTCCCTGCTCATCCCACACCCAACCTCACCAGCACCATTTTGGTCCTTCACTACACACTCATATTAACATTTCTTCACAAGAATGACAGCTAATGTAAAACAAATACTGTTAAGGAAGAAATAAAATAAGGAATTAGCCCAAAATGACAAGTTCTATACAGATTAAAATAAATTCCATCAGGAGAAGAAAGAATTCTTTTATTATTTTCAGGTTGGCCCCTGTGGGAATAATTTAAAGGCCAAGTGCCTGGGCAGGGCTGTGCTGCAGCCTGTGGGGATGGGATGGCATGGGATGGGATGGGATGAGATGGGATGGGATGGGACGGGACGGGATAACGGGATGGGATGGGATGGGATGGGATGGGGCTGTCCCTCTTCTCTGCAGAGCTGGGGTTCTTCTGGCAGTGGCTTCCCCTGCCCAGGAGCTTTGTGCAAACAGACAAAGGGGGCCCTGGGCCCTGGCCAGGGTGATGTGGTGACACTGGACTGGTGACATTCCCCACTGCTGCACGTGCCCAACTCCTGACTGTAACTGGCATGGCAAAATAACTCAGCATTCAGGGCTGGGATTTGCCTTGACCAAATGAGCCAGCTCTTTGTCTCCATTCCATGCAGAATCTCTGACTTCCACACTCGATTTAGGCTTCCTTCTTCTTGGAGTAAGTGACACGGGCAGCACCATGAGCTGGCAAACTCCTGGGCCATGGGCTGGCAAACTCCTGGCATGAAGAACAGGCTCCAGGCCCCGACAAGCTTGTCCAGCACAGCCTGTTCTGTCAGCAGGCACCAGTTCTGGAGCCCTGCATGTTTTTCCCTGGCAAATTGTCACTTACAGTAAAACACCATGGAAAAATCAAATTAAAAAAAAATTCAACTGAGGTGATGCATCCACAGGAGGCCCAGTCTCAGGAGAGCTGACCGTCAGTCCTGACAACACTGTGGAGCAGCTTCCCATAAATATTGATGCATAAATACCTGATTTGGACCACGATTTCAGCCCCCTCCCCAAGCCCAGCACCCAGAAGTTGAAGGCTGGCCAGCAATGTGTCACAAGCTGTCAAAGTCCACTGTCCCCTGAGCAGAATTGATCCCTCCTGCCCTGGTCACTGGTCTCTGGCCATGGGCAGGGCACACGTGTCCTCAGGGCCAGCCCGCGCTGGCACAATGAACTGGTTATACTGGGAGCTTCAGCCTCACTCTGACACCCCAAAAGCAGCAGCTGGGGCTGCCAGGAGATGAGGGCTGCTCGTGTGGCTCAAAAATGAGTTCATTACAGGTCATTGGCTTCTTCAGGTGGCTGCTTGGTGAAACCAAGGCAGTGCTGCCAGAGCAGGACCTACTCCTCTGCTGGCTGGAGCCCCTCCAGGGCCGGTGGTGGTGGCCTGGTGGGTGGCAGGGACTGCATGGCTGCAAAACAAGACAGGACAGGTCCAGGACAGGGCAGCCCTTGCTGTGGGCAGCCCTGCTGCAGGGCTGACCCTCTGCAATGCTGCCAGGCCTGGGGTAACATTCCCTCCCCATTCCCCTCCCCACATAGAGCACCGGTCCCAGTCTGTGGGTTTGGGTCAGACCCTCCTGCCCCACACCCAGCACCCACAGGGGCCACTCTGAGCCCACAGGTTTGGGCAGGGGTGAGGAGGGGGTGAGGTTTCACTGTGGTTGGTGCATGGAATCAACACCCCAGCTCATGCTCAGAGTGGGATCTGTGCCCTGGCTGGTCCAGGGGCACATTTATGGCCAGACTGCTAAACACCTTCAATTTGAGACTTCACAACCCTTCCTGGTGGCTGCAGTGACAGCAGACAGGTCAGAGCAGCTGAGGGGCTGGGCAAGAGGCAGGTGCTGCCCTCAGTGCCTGGACTGAGCTGATTTACTGCTCCCAACCCCACCATGGAACCCAGGCACAGCCTCCCCTCGGGTTTTGTCCCCCACTGTCCCCTCCATGGCCTCACCTTCGCGGCAGGTGGGTCCCGTGTGGCCGTGCAGGCACTGGCACTGCCCGTTCCTGGCGTTGCAGTAGGAGCTGCTGGGGGCACACTGGCATGCCAGGCTGCACTCGGGGCCGAACTGGGTGGGCTGGCACTCTGCAGAGGGAACGGAGCTGCTCAGGTGTGCGGGAATTCAGGACATCCCTCTGTCCTGGATTGCCCAAACACCTGCCAGGGGGCTCAGAGACCCTGGCATGGAGCACAAGACTCCTGTGCCTCTGATTTAGCCCTTGGAAAAAACAATTACCAACCTTATATGAAGAATTACAAGCCACGAAAGTCTAAGTAGAATAATAGTTAGTTTGTCACAGGGTGAAAAAACAGATTTTTGAGGGTTTTAGAATGGGGGTTTGGAGATTGTTTATCCAACAGGTGGTTGTTTCATTGGTTTCATGTGAATTGTTTCAACTTAATGACCAATCAGAGCCAAGCTATGTCAGGGCTCTGGAAGGAGTCACGAATTTTCATTATTATCTTTTTAGCCTTCTGTAAGTATCCTTTCTGTATAATATAATGTAATGTAATGTAATGTAATGTAATGCAATGTAATTTATATTATATATATATATATATAATATAATATAATATAATATTATATTATATTATATTATATTATATTATATTATATTATATTATATTATATTATATTATATTATATTATATTGTATTATATTATATTATATTGTATTATATTATATTATATTGTATTATATTTTTTAAAATGAAAATAAAATTTTAAAAATAACAAATTAAAATTAAAGATTTAAAATTTATACATTAAAAATATAATAAAAATATAATATAAAATAATGGATTACAATAAAATAAACATAAAATAATTAAAATAGAAAAATAAAATAGAAAAAGAAAAATAAAATAAAATATATAATATCATAAAATAATAAAAAAAATTTCTGAGAACATGGAGTCAGATTCATCACTCCTCCCTTCATCTGGGAACCCCCCAAATACAATACGCCACTGTCCCTCTCACCCTGTGAGGTGACACACACCAGAAAAATGCCTCTCCCAGCTCACTGGGAGCAAACCCCCATCACACAGCCCCTTCCTCCCCTGCCCAGCCAGGGCTCAGCTCACCTGCAGCACAGGTGGGGCCGGTTCTGCCCGGGGGGCACAGGCAGCGCCCGCTCACCGGGTCACAGGGGACATCGCTGGGGCAGTCACAGAGGTGCTGGCACCCCTCTCCGTACGTCCCTTCCTTGCAGCCTGTGTGAGACACAGAATACCAGAATAGACCCACAGAATCCAGCCCCTGCCCTGTGTGTCTGGCCCTTGGGATGCCCTCGGGAAGGGTGAGGAAGGAGGAGGATGGAGGTACCTGTGTGGCAGCGCTCGCCCTGCAGCCCCGGGGGACAGCGGCAGCGCCCGGTGACGGGGTCACATGCTGCGCCGTGCTCGCAGTCACAGCGCTGCTGGCAGCCCTCTCCGTGGAACCCTGG